AAATATTCTCGCGGGGATACGGAGCCAAAAACACATCAGCAAATGAGACAAATTCCCGGTGCGGCACAACGAGGGCACCATCTCCGCGGAGAAGTAGTTTGTGGAACCATGCACTCAGGAACCGCGCGGATGGGAACGAAAGCCCACACATCCGCCTCACCTTCTCCGGTGCGTGGCAGGAAGCAAAATTATCTCAGACACACAGCGCATTTGCATGGCGCTCTCGCGCGACATGCGTGGGGACGTCTCGGGGGCGTCGCCCCATCGCGTCTATTAGGGCGTCAGCCATCCGAAGACACGCGGTGTCCACGTGCAAGTGCGTGCCAACGGGCATGCCTGGAATTTCCTCCAGCTCAGAAATGTGTCTCCAAAGCAGTTTACCCTCGCAAGAAGTGCCAAACCACAAAAGACTGCTCCCGAGCCAATTCTGCGGATATCCCATCGGGGCGTTTACTGAGATGAGCTCCACGCAGCTCTCCGCAGTCTTCAGCGGACGTTCATCCACTAAGACAGTACGTGTGGGTGGGTGTAACGTTGGAGAAAGAGGGATATATGGTGGAGTTTCAGCCGCGAGAAAGGAGCACAACAGAAACACAGGAAGAGAGGGAGATGAGCAGACACGGGAAAAAAAGAATGGGAGAGCCCTTCAGAGAAACAAATAAAGAAGGACATTAAATTCGTTCATTTATTGGGGAAGGAATTGAGAGGAAAAAGCAGAAAAAAAGTTTCGCACAAAAGATGGCCATTAAATGTGTCTGCGGTCCCAATTGACTTCTTTCAGTCCATCGGTGTAACGCCGCTAAGCCTCCCCTCACACCCACACAAATGGGACCCATCGAAGCGTCAGAGTAGTGAGTATGCCAGTTTCTGGTTGAACAGCAGATATTTGCTTACCAACCATATGGTGTAAATGGGAATAATAATGGCTAGGGTAATTACTGTCACTCGCCACCAACAGCCGGACGAGAAAAAAAAGTTTCTGTCTATTGTTTCAGGCAACACCACGACGGCCACAAAGTAGGACGCAATGGAAAAGCATTCAGCTGCAATAAACAAATAGAGATGACGTCGCCGTTGTTTCCAAAGTATTCGGAGGTGCGCCGTGGACGCCACGATAATAAGTTCCGTCATCAATAAAGAAGTGTAGGCAACCGCCACCAATTGAAATAACTCCTCGCTAAATAACTCAAGTGAAAGAAACATCATGGTCCCTCCTTGAAAAATAGAAATCCATACCCATTGCAAAAAAGAGCGTGTGTTCATAGATCGAGCTTTTAACAGCTCCTTGTAATGCTGCGGAAACTCACTGACGTCTTTCTCCCGTATCTCCTCATCGAGTACAAGCGCAAAGACCGGTGCCATAGTAAAAATGGTGGTGTACCCCATAAGAAGATATCCATTAAAAATAGACATGGTGGTGCCTGCGAAAAGAAGTGAAAAGAACGCCTGCACTACCGAGTACACCATACCTCGGTGCATAATAAACTGACTCATACGGCATGTACGACAATATGATCTACGCCCATGCCACATTATAAGTCGTACACAGTGAGCAAACTTCGTGATGGAAAAGTCTGCTGCCATACTTGCCTGCTTGCCTTCTAATCCCTCCACACCAATACCAACGTCCGCGGCAAGTATCATTGAAACGTCATTTCCTCCATCCCCAATAGCAGCCATGCGGACCCTCTTGTCGCAGTACTTTCGCATAGTGTGAATAACAGCCGCCTTTTGTGTAGGCGAACATCGTGCCACAATAACGGAATACGCCGTTTGCGAGACTTCAACAAAGATTCTAGAAACGGATTCTGAAAGACAAAAAGAAAGAGAGGTGCCGTCCAAAATAAGCGTCCATGGTCTGCTGACACATGCACCGCGTGATAGCAAAGCGTAACGAGCCGCAAGTTTCTCCAAAAAACGCATGGCATCTTCTTCTGTAGAAGACGCCATCACTTCCACAACGCCGTTTCTTGGAATAAGTCGTGTTGAATGACCAATGGTAGTGGCCGTCTCCACCTTGTCACCCGTTAGGATCCACACTTTAATGCCACCCATCCCTAATGTTTCCAGTGACGTCGTGACATCATCTTGAAGTTCGTCTTCTACACCGGTAACGCAAACTAACTTCATGTCCCTTTCAATAATACGCATGGCCGCATCTAAAGAACTGTTACGCGTGTCACCCAAGTCTGCATTGGCCTCATTATATTTCGCCAAAAATGTTTCAAAAAGCTCTTCTGTTAATGTCCGCTGCGCAAATACTAAAGTTCGAAGTCCCACCTGCGAGAATTCCTGACAACTTTCATACAACCAATCAGTGAGGCGTAAAACACTCGCCATCTTCGTATCAGCCCCCTTCATCAGATATTTATATCCGCCCTCGCCCACCCCCCGCCGTTCACGAACGATAATTCCCATACACTTTCGTTCAGAGGTAAAGGGAAAGGCCTTGATAATGTCGTAATGCACAGTTCTCCCCCCAGGGGTCGTAAACCGCACGCAATTCACATCACGGTGTGTAAGAGTCATACCAATAGAACTACAGAACTTCACAAAAGCCACTTCATCGGGTGACGCCGCCTGATATTCTAAACGGCCATCCTCCATAACGGGACTGACGTTGTGGCAGAGTACAAGCGCGAGAAGTGCTTCGCCTACAGATGTGACATCGCGTGGAAATGTTCTTTGCGAGAGCAAACCACCGCCTTTACCAACATCTATTGCGTTGAGACCTCCGGTTTCATGCCTTTCAACAAAAAAAGCTTCCATGATCCTTCGAAAGCGGTCCACCTCATTGTAATTCAAAATCGTATCGACACCGACTTGAATGACGCGAAATTCCATTTTGTTTTTCGTCAGCGTCCCTGTCTTGTCCGTAAACAAATACTGCAAACGACCCAATTCCTCCGGGATGTTTGTGTTGCGAACAACCGTACCATCTATTTTTGAATCTCGGAACATTTCGTACGAGTACCACATGCGACCCACATCGACGTTGACTCGCATAGAGATGGGAATGATGGCTGACAAAAGGATAAGAAATCGAAGAAACATCACGATCCAGTCCCCCTCAAACTGCTGCAGAAAAACAAGGAAAAGCGAAACAACGACAAGAAACAGAAAGCACAGTGCTCCAATGAAATTCAGTTCACTTTCTATAAGACCTGTCTTTGTGGAGGGTTTGCTGGAATTCATCGCGCTACGCGTGTCAACGCCGGTGTAAAGCACCGCGGCTATCAAGGTGCCGGACGCCACGACACAACTTTTCCATAACGTGTTTTCAAGACAAATGGCCTCGGCGTCCAACCCCGCAACATCAAGCATCCCCACAAATTTGTAGATGTCTTTGTGAAGCGGCTCGCAGCGTATGTTCGCCCGGAATCGGCAGAGTGTTTCATTATTGAGAGTTTGTGTCAGTTTCAAGGCATACCGCAGCTTCCAATCAGTTTCACCGTCGAGTTGGTCCGTTCGAACAAAACATGTCCCGCTCTTCTCAGATGTACGCAACAACACACAATCCGCCGGGATCCGCTGGCCACTGCGCAACACCAGTAAGTCCCCGACCTGAATCGACGACGCGAGCACAACACCCGTTGATCCGTCCGGAAAAAGTTTTTCCACCTTCTCCTTGTTGGCAATTTGATCACGCCTGTAACGCTGAATGTCATCCACGGCGTCTTTTATTAAAGAGAGCAGCAGAACAAATACTAGCGGCGAGAAGTACGTGACAATAAACCCGACTTTCAGGGCCGGAATGAGCTGCGAGAGGGACAGCAGTAAATAAAAAACATTGAAAACTGACCGGAAGTGGTAAAACAAAGCAAGCGGGAGAAACGAGAGGAGGGAGTAACGCCTGTTATTGACCGCATTGTTTGGGTACGATCGGCCCGACCACACCGCCGGATCGCAGCCAATCGCAATCGTCCGCGGCTCATTCGCTTCCGCCACATCCATGTTAAGCCACCCTCTCACGAGCCTCACGTAACTAAACGGCTTCATCGGAGGAATCGGCAGACACAACGAACCCTCATCGTCGCTCCCATCACGATTCCCATTATTGTACACTCTCACCATCTCTACAGCCTCGTTCATAAAGGCTTCCCCACCCACCAAAAAAAAAAAAGAAAAAAAACAAATAAATAGAAAAAACAAACAAACGCAAGTGACCAAGCCACAACCCTCGCCACAAATACACACAAAAAAATAGACATTCTTAACAAATAGCACAAAACACATACGAGTAACGGTAATGCATGATAATTCGACCACCACCATGCGTCAAGATACGGCCAACTGCACAACAACAAAGATAAACAAGAAGATCAAAGGCCGGCACCCATCATAGCTTCACAGAAATGGAACACTTCTCTCCATCTAATCGGTGTCTGACCCTCATCGTTGCAAGCCATGAAGTCTCCCAATGCATCCACAAACTGAGCTGTTGCGCAACCGCCAAAACGGCCGCACAACGACAACAGCCTGCACCGTCGCTCGTGGGCGCATTGCATTTACTCGGCATGGCTTCCAGCAAACACGTCGCCAAAAAATACAGACGCGGTGGGTGGGCTGCCGCAATGAGAAACGCCGCAAGAGCCACACAATTCCTAATTCTTGCGTGGCCACAACCAAAATAGTCTTGCGGGGATACGGAGCCAAAAACACATCAGCAAATGAGACAAATTCCCGGTGCGGCACAACGAGGGCACCATCTCCGCGGAGAAGCAGTTTGTGGAACCATGCACTCAGGAACCGCGCGGATGGGAACGAAAGCCCACACATCCGCCTCACCTTCTCCGGTGCGTGGCAGGAAACAAATTTATCTCAGACACACAGCGCATTTGCATGGCGCTCTCGCGCGACATGCGTGGGGACGTCTCGGGGGCGTCGCCCCATCGCGCCTATTAGGGCGTCAGCCATCCGAAGACACGCGGTGTCCACGTGCAAGTGCGTGCCAACGGGCATGCCTGGAATTTCCTCCAGCTCAGAAATGTTTCTCCAAAGCAGTTTACCCTCGCAAGAAGTGCCCAGCCACAAAAGACTGCTCCCGAGTAAATTCTGCGGATATCCCATCGGGGCGTTTACTGAGATGAGCTCCACGCAGCTCTCCGCAGCCTTCAGCGGACGTTCATCCACTAAGACAACACGTGTGGGTGGGTGTAACGTTGGAGAAAGAGGGAGATATGGTGGCGTTTCAGCCGCGAGAAAGGAGCACAACAGAAACACAAGAAGAGAGGGAGATGAGCAGACACGGGAGGAAAAGAATGGGAGAGCCCTTCAGAGAAACAAATAAAGAAGGACATTAAATTCGTCCATTTATTGGGGAAGGAATTGAGAGGAAAAAGCAGAAAAAGTGGTGCAAACCATTGCCAAATCCGTCGAATGCGCTGCGTTTACTAGGGTTCATTTTTTTTTTGTGCAGTCGTCAGCATCATTGTCGTCCACAACATCTCCTCCGGTTGCCTCCCATACTTTTTGGTACTTGCCGAGGTCCAATTTGTTGTAGTTGGGGGAAATGACGGCGATAAAGCCCTCGACGTGAGGTGCCGTCACAAGAAGTTCGGGTCGTTCTTGCACGGTGGGGTTGAGCTCCAGAACAAATCCGGCAACACATGCAGGGATTTTGTACAAAGTTCCATCCGTCATTGTTATAACGCAGATATTAGTGTCTTCTTGACATTTTGTGGCGTTTTTCTTGCGTTTTCCCACCAAACAAACGTTTTGTGGTGCAAGTTTTGCATTTCCCCTTCCAGAACCAAATGTGACGGATTCGATTCTGGGATGAGATGCATCTAATTCCTCGTCTGTACACAAACTCTTACGATGCGACTGAATAGCAGCATGTGACCCGTCCAGGCATAATACACACAACCCATTGCTGTGCACCAACAGCCTACAATTATTATCTTCTACCCCTTTGCAGTTTCTCACTACATATTGGTGGTAGTAACGCTCTGTGAAGTAGTCAAATGTCTGTGGCTTGTCAGCAATGCTGCAGGACACCTCCATTTCTCACAGTGGCGTCAATTAAATGCAGTAACAAATGAGAAAACAACCCGCATCCTTCATTCACAGAAATAAATGGAGGTCGCCGTAAAACCAGATAAGAAATAACAAGAAAAAGAACAAGAAAAGACGTGCAGTAAATATGGCAAACGATAGGAATAAGCACGCACATTAAATAATTACATGTATGTAAGGGTCGTACATGAGAGCGGGTGACCAAAACTGGACGAACCAAAGCAAATGAATCATGTACAAATTTCAAAAAAAAAAACTTTCGCAACCATTTGCAATGCAACCGTAAAGAGAATAGCAAGTAATGCAAGAAAGACAAAAAGAGTAAATAAAAACTCTGAAAACCCCCGTCTGCAATGTTGTTGTTGTTATTTTTTGCCTTGCACATACTCAATTACGGCGAAATACCGCCAACCAGATAGGATTTCTTAAACTTCCGTTTGAAGCTCTCTCGTTTTTTCGCCACGCCTTTCTTGTAGGCGTCCACGAAGGATTTATTTTTCGGGTCCGCTATATTCACCTCAAGTACCCTGTAGCGGAAGTTAAACGGAACGCGTCCCCCCGAGATGTTACTTAATCGCCTTGCAAGACGAAATCGCTGCCTACTAGATGCGCCACGATTTCTTCTTGCCTCCATTTCCAACAGAGTTCTTCTGCGAGGCCTGACACTCGGTTGACCGGGTGTTTCGTACGGCGCTGGTGACGCCATGGCACGCTCCAATTCAGCATCCGGCCCGACAACATCAAACTGCTCAAACACGGATCCTAATGATGACGCCTCCGCCATCAAGGCTCCCACTGGTACAACCGCATGCTCCGAGTCGTATGTGTTCATAAGCCTTTCATTTTCTCGAGCTGCCAAATCGTCCTCCCCATCATCCTCCTCCTTCTCGTTCTCCTTTTCGCCAATATGCTTCATTTCCTTCGCAGCCCCTGTTTTTGAATCCTCAACTTGAGAACAAGGAGTACAGCTTGCTAAATCCATGGGCTTCTCCCTTTGTTCCTCGCCGTCAAGCATGTCAAGCCATGCGGTTCCCAAGACATGTTCATCCACCTCGGGCAATTGTGTTTTTGAGGGCAGCATGGCAGTTCCTTCCAGAACGCGACTCTTCTCTCCAAGATACGTGGAAGTCTGCAATTTGGGTTCAAAATCCATCGACATACACAACTCAGGGTTGTCATCGATGAGGTCTTCCCCATTTTTCAACACCTGCGGCGGCGGCTGTGATGACATGACGCTTATTTTTCCAACAAAAAAAGAAGCAGACTTGTCATCGTGAAAAATTTTCACAAGAGCTGCATCATTCGTGCAGAGCACCACATCGGCTTCCTCAGGTGCTATTGTCCGTATCATGGCAAGAAGCAAAAACAAGTGATCGTTGTCCGAGTGAGCGGGATCAAGAACCGCGGCCTTTATCTGCGACTCCATCACAGAGTGTGCCATAAGACATTCACTGAAATGGAGAACACGAGTTCGTCTTTTTTTATTCACGTCTCGCAGGAGTGCAAACAAACTTCGTAGCCGCTGCGAGGCAATAAAAGGCTCAGCCTTGTTGGTCTCCTGCAGGGCCTCATCCATCGTCACAATATCATTCTCTTGCTCAATTGTTAAGGACATCTGCTGCAGACAGCAGTAGGGAATAAGAAGAAGAGAAGACCCCTCATCCTCAACATCAGAGGTTTGCCCCACCGTAATAAAGTGTTCGCTTGTCTCTACAAAGGAAGAATCCAAAATAAAGATCCTTTTAAACCCCACCAACTTGTTTCGTAACGCAGAGGCATCCGTAGCGACAAACTCCCCTTCGGGTAGTGCATAGTCGCTGAAATGGGGAATAGAGCCCACCAAACTGATGTCAAGTTTTGGCATCTTCTCTGTGATGTCATCCAGCGCCTTATTCACATCCACTTCACCGCAACAAGATCGAAAATACACCGCAGCCGCCGCACGGAAGTTCTCATCGAGCACAACCACGTCCTCCATTGAGCATGACTCGTGGAGTTTTGCCTCCATCAGCAGTTCCTGAACCCGGACAGGCCCCAAACCCTCCATAAGTATAAGATACAACTCCATTCGACTCAACGCATTGCGGTAGTGAAAAAAATCTGTATAACAGAACTTCCAGAAGAGCTCAACTTCTCGTGTGAGATCGTAATCCTCGTCAATTTTCCGTCTCAATTCAATTTCTTTGATCTGTTCCCGAAGAAGTGCTTGTTGATCTGCTGAGGAGCCCTCACATCTCACAATCATAACTGCCCGTGTCAAATCAAGCACCTGAAGATTGCTCTCTTCCATGCATCGTAGTGAACGAAGTGCCAGTGACGGCTTCGTTGCCGAAATTGCCACAATAAGGTAATGATAAAGCTCCGCCGTGACGCCGCCTGCCTCAACAAGTGGCTTTCGAAAAGCAACAGCCGATGGATCCGAAAAGCAATGCCAAATATCCCGTTCACCCGCCCGGTGTTTTTTTGCGCTTTCTTTGCTCTTCTCAGCGGAAATACGCCGCAAGTACTCATCCACAAGCTCCACCACGCGCTGCACATTGCCCGCAAAGGCTGCCTGTTCCAAGTCATTTGTAAAGCTCTCGTGCAAAATAGAATCCCGAAGGTGTGGGCGTGACAACGTTGGAGGAGTCCATGACGCTCCCGCTTCCAAGTGACGAAAAGTATGATGCCGGCTAACTGGCGGCCAAGTATCATTTGAGACAGAGTTAGAACTGCCATCAGGAAGAGCATCGATAAACTCAAGGAGTTCTGGCTTTGCGCAATGATATATTTTAGAGCGGAGTTGCTTAAAAGCTCTAAATAGTCCCTCTAATTCCCGGGTTTCTTCATCGGAGGTTTGAAATTGCAAGGTGGCAGTGCCATCGGTCACTTCATGTTTCACTAGATGAAAATAACGGGCCAAGTACATTTCCCACACTGCCTCCGCCATATCTTCGGCACTTTCATCATTTGGCGAGAGAGCAGCAATGTGTAAAAGCCATGTATAGTGGGAGAGGGAGAATGGATGACCCGTTTCCACCAAATACTGTTGCCAACGAAATGCCGTCGTCAAGTCGCGCCCAGCAGCACAAAGTCTGAAAAACTCTTGATACGTCTCCGATCCTACTTTGTGGCTGTGAACCATGGTCTGAAAAACATGTTGGGAGTACATGTACGCCTGACGCTTTGCCGTCTTTCGCTTCTCAAGGTCCATCACAGTTGTGCACCACGCCAACAAGCGAGCACAGTGGTGATCGCTCAGGAGGTGCTTGTGGTGATGCAAAGACCATGCCAAGTACCACGGACGAGGCTCCCGGTACAATTTGCGCCGCAAGTTCTCCAACCCCTGGCTAGCACTCCACCCACGAAAGATGTCGCCGTGGTGTGCACGCGCCTTGACGCCACCCCACATACAAGAGCCACAGCGGCTAGCTTGCAATGGAAGTGGGGCAACAGCAAAAAAAAAAAAAAAGGAAAAAAATAATAATAATACAGTAAGAGCAAAAGAAGAATGAGAATTCACGCATCAATAAATTTTAGTCTTTTTTTTTTTTTTCCTTCGCTTCTTCAATTCGTCTCTACATCCTTTTCCTGTTGCGTTAATATAAAAAAAAGAAAAAACAATTACGTCAGTCGCTGCATCCACTGGAGGAAACAGACCCACCCAATCACACACAAACACACAAACAAACATCCCACAGGTGCGTAGTGAAAGGCGTCAGAGGGCAAATTCAGTGGGGGCCCGGAGAAAAACAATTTTTAGAGCTAAGCTTTTTTCTGGGTTTTAAAAAAAAAAAAAAAAAAAAAAGGTTAGCGTTAAATATTTGCGGTTAAAATCAAACATCCGTCCAAAGCGCTCTTCTCTTAAAGCAGATCTCTTGTGTGCGTGTGTATGTTTGACTTTTTAACTTCCTCTTTTTTTTTTTTTTTTTTTCAATCCCTCCATTTTATTTCTGTACATGACTTGTTTTCCTCCTCCTACTCCCCGCCACCACGTCATCGGAGCCACCCCTCCCAACACTCGCCCTTTCCACTCCTCTCTCTCTCTCCCTCTCTCTCTTCCCACATGCACACCTCCTCTGCGGACAGAAACCCGGTCTCTCCACACGTCGCACTAATTATAATTATAATAAATACCATATTATTCTTATTTAATATTATCTGACGCGTAAGGCGTGGAGATGTCGCAAAAGGGAGGGAAGGGAAACAACAACAAAAGGATATGCCAAAAAGAGGAAAGAACAAAAGACAACAGCAAAGGCAAAGGCAAAAAAAAAAAAAAAAAGAAACAGGCGGTAAGGGAGAATTCGTAAACCGCATGCTAAACACATGATACACACATTTCCGCATAAAAACAATACAATTGTAATTCATATGTATTTGTATTTTTATTGTGGATGCATTGACGTATTATATGAATGCACGTAGACGCATACATGAAAGAAAAGAAAAGAAAACAAACAAAAAAACAAAAAAAAAGCCATGCCAAAGAAAGAAAGACTGTTGTGATCGCGGAGGCATAACGCATAAAAACACACAAACAACAACAGCAAAAAAAAAAAAAAAAATTGATATGACATATATATAAATAAATATATGTGTTTTCATGATTTCATTCTCTCTCCTTTTCTCTCTTATACCCGTGCCGCACGGCTGGTCGATCGTAATGCAAAACGCATGCAATGCATGTGTCGTCCCCCTTCACACAAACACAGACACACACACCAAAAAAATTGTGTGTCCTGTTGAAAATCCCTTTATTTCTTTAATTATATATTTATATATATTTTTTCTTTTTATACCTCATTTTCATTACTCCTTTGCATATACACATATATACGGCCTAGGCTTTTTTTCTTTTTTTTCTTTTCGGATGCTGCATTTAATTTCTTTCTTGTTGCCTCCCATCTCTCGGTATCTCACTTTATCATTTTTTCTTCTTTTTTTTTTTCCTTTTTTTTTATTTTTCCCTCTCCTTTCCCTGCTTTGTGCGCATGTGTGCAGAAGGAGTGGTGGTGGCATCCAATTTTTTTTTTTTTCTTCGTGTGCCCACCCCTCCTCGCTGCTTTCCCGCTCGTGTTCCCCCCTTCACCCATTGCCCCCGTTGACGATGTGATCCTTCAGAGTTAATTGCCTACTCCCAATGTTTGTACGGAAAATATTTCTCCTCCTCCTCCTCCTCCTTCAACAACAACAACAACAAGTGAACATCACACACACACCGTCTCTCTTTTTTTTTCTTTTTGTTTTTTGTCACTTGATGTTCATTTATCTATTTTATTTATTTACTTCTTCATCTATTCGTCTTTTTTTTCTTCTTCTTTTCTCTTCCGTGAGCCCCGCCCTTTTTGCGGCACTTCGTTCGCTTCTCTCCCTCTCTGCCACTGCTGCTGCTGCCCCCATGCCCGCTGCATGCGGTGCCGCCAGAGGGTGGTGTGGGAGGATACAGAAGAAACAAAAAAGGGAAATACCACAAAGTGATAAGCGGCCCGCGTTCCTCTTTTTTTTTCAATTCCTCCATTTTTTTCCTGCAAATAACTTGTTTTCCTCCTCCTACTCCCCGCCACCACGTCATCGAAGCCACCCCTCCCAACACTCGCCCTTTCCACTCCTCTCTCTTTCTCTCTCTCTTCCCACATGCACACCTCCTCTGCGGACAGAAACCCGGCCTCTCCACACGCCGCACTAATTATAATTACGATGAATACCATTATTCTTATTTAATATTATCTGACGCGTAAGGCGTGGAGATGTCGCAAAAGGGAGGGAAGGGAAACAACAACAAAAGGATATGCCAAAAAAAGGAAAGAACAAAAACAACAGCAAAAGAAAAAAAAAAAAAAAAAAAGAAAAAAAAAGAAACAGGCGGTAAGGGAGAATTCGTAAACCGCACGCTGAACACGTGATACACACATTTCCGCATAAACACAATACAAATACATATGAATTACAAATGTATTTTTATTGTGGATGCACTGATGTATTATATGAATGCACGTACACGTATACATGAAAGAAAAGAAAACAAAAAGAAAAAAAGAAAAAAAAAAAAAGAGCCATGCCAAAAAAAGGAAGACTGTTGTGATTGCTGAGACATAACGCATAAAAACACACAAACAACAACAACAAAAAAAAAATGTAATATGACATATATATATATACATATAAATATATATAGATATATGTTTTCATTGATTTCATTCTCTCTTCTTCTCTCTCTTATACCCGTGCCGCACGGCTGGTCGATCGTAATGCAAAACGCATGCATGCATGTGTTGTCCCCCTCCACACAAACACACACACACAAAAAAAAAATTGTGTGTCCTGTTGAAAATCCCTTTATTTCTTTAATTTCATATATATATATTCTTTTTATCCCTCATTTTCATTACTCCCTTGCATATACACATATATACGGCCTAGGCTTTTTTTTTTTTTTTTTTTCTTTTTGGATGCTGCATTTAATTTCTCTCCTGTTGTCTCCCATCTTCCGGTATCTCACTTTATCATTTATTCTTCTTTTTTTTTTCCTTTTTTTATTATTTTTCCCTCTCCTTTCCCTGCTTTGTGTGCATGTGTGTGTGTGTGTGGGAGGAGTGGTGGCGGCATCCAATTTTTTTTTTTCTTCGTGTGCCCACCCCTCCCTCGCTGCTTTCCCGCTCGTGTTCCCCCCTTCACCCATTGCCCCCGTTGACGATGTGATCCTTCAGAGTTAATTGCCTACTCTCAATGTTTGTACGGAAAATATTTCTTCTCCTCCTCCTCCTCCAACAACAACAACAACAAGTGAACATCACACACACACACACACACTCTCTCTCTCTCTCTTTTTTTTTTTGTTTTGTTTTTTGTCACTTGATGTTTATTTATGTATTTTATTTATTTACTTCTTCATCCATTCGCCTTTTTTTTTTCTTCTTCTTTTCTCTTCCGTGAGCCCCGCCCTTTTTGCGGGGCTTCGTTCGCTTCTCTCCCTCTCTGCTGCTGCTGCTGCTGCTGCTGCTGCCCCCATGCCCGTTGCATGCGGTGCCGCCAGAGGGTGGTGTGGGAGGATACGGAAGAAACAAAAAAAGGGAAACGTGCGTTGCACCACACACAATCGAATCGCGATTCCCTTTTTAAGTGAACACAAGCAGCTTTGGCCGTTTCCCTGCCCCCCTCTCTCTTTCTCTCTCCCTCCCTCTTTCTTTCCCATTTCTCCTGCTCTCAATCTTCCTTCCGTTTGTTACCCGCTCTTTATTCTTCTTGTCCCGCGCTTTGGTTTTCCGCTCTTTTCTCCGGTGTTTATGTGCAAAAACAAAAACAAAGAACGCGGTACACCCGCAGGGACAAAAAAAAAAACAATAAATAAAAGATAACACCACCACCACCACTAACAACAACAACAACAGTAGCAGAAAAAAAAAAAAAAAAGAAAAAAAGGAAAAAAAAGAAGTAACTGTGGAAAAGACAAAAATGTCAACAACAACAAATAGGAGGAAGTGCGGAGAATAAATTATGAAGAATTATTAACGTGAAGCCTCATCTTTGCCTCACTCTCGTTCGAGCCACAATCCAAACCGCCGCTGCAGCTGCACAAAGAAGCAGACCGACCCTTTTCTTCGCGGCAAAGAGTTTCCGGGTGCATTTCGCTCGCGGGGCATTTGGCGCAGGCACCTCACCTGCACGAATTAGTTGATCAATGCACACCCGTATGGTCTCCTTCATGGGAGTGAATTTTATGTCCAAATCTACCGTTGCTCTGTGGGTTTGCAGGCGCTTTCGAACGCCCACAAAACGCCAAAGAAATCCCATCTTTACTTGCGATTGCGTAGCACCAATAAGGAGTGTCATCAACGTATTTGCGGTCCGTGTGGGGGGCGTAAGGTGCGGATACGCTTCCTTGATCATTTCTGCAATTTCGGCGTAACTAAAACAGCCATTGGAGACTATAACTCGCTGGTCCTTTACCTCCTGGCACTCTAGTGCTCGTACATGCGCCTCAGCAACATCACGCACATCCACATAATTCCAGTACAAGTTAGGTGCATAAGGGAAGCTTGGAGATGCCGTGGCTAACCCTTGAATTTGCATCATGGCATTACTAATTTCCTCTGTACGACTTGGCCCAATGGTGATGGAGGGTAAAATCACTACTAATTCCACACCAATCATTTGCTTCATCCTCCACGCCTCTTTTTCAAAACAAATGCGAGCATAAGGAACGGGGTCAGTGGCGGCGGTAGCTACTGTATTCCAACAAGACTCGTCAAAGGCTCCAGAAGGAGGATCCGGATCTGTTATGTGAAACACCGAAGATGCTGCTCCCGTGATTAAAACTCGTTTCACTGTTGATTTCCCCGTGGATCGGATAGCATCAAAAAGTGTACGAATAGCGCTTGTATGTAAGGCCACTGGATCCTTGTTACCAGGGGATGTCGGGCAGCCGCAGTGAATGACATATTTACACCCACGCATGGCATCACGCAAGGCGGAGGAGTTGGTCATATCCGCCTCAAATATCGTCAAGCGTCGTTCTGGACCTTGGTCCATGGAATAAAAATCCATTTGTTGCTGTTCGCTTAGCGTATCGGCCACTGTTACACGAACCGTGTAGCCCGCGTCGAGAAGCTTTGCCACCACATGGCTTGAAATATACCCAATGCCGCCAATAACCAAAACATTGGTTTTATTTTTGACACTCTTGGCACGCCCCTTCTCGGTTTCGGAGGACAATTGATTCAGGATCGTCGACACTGTCGCTCCCGGCAAAACATACTGTTCCTGCGGATTTGGCGGAAAAGCATTGGGTTGGGGCATCTCCTCCTCAGAAAGAATATCACCATTCATTGCATTAAGGTCCAAGGCACTTCCAGAAAAGACCTTCTGAAGTGTGTGCGCGCCAGGCTGTGGACGTACTGGCTGACCATCTTCTGTAAAGAAATCAACGCCAGGGCCCAATATATGCGGCTGTTTTACTAAATTTGGACGACGCACTATCTCCATGTCCTCTAGGGAAAGACAACTGCCAGAAAAGGCACGCAGCATTTCCCCTTCCTCTTCCGCACAGGTACCGTATATAAATATAAATATTTAAATATATAAATATATGTCTGCCTTTGTGAATGTGAGTGCTTTATTTTAAGCAAAAGCCTCCGCGTACTACTTTCTACTGTCGCCTCCTTTTGTTAAAAAAAAAAAATTTTATATTTGAGGGGGAGGGGTGGAGCCTTTTTTCCCTGTGTTTTTTTTTTATTTTTATACTTTTTCCTTTCTGTTTCTTTTTCTTTTCTTTCTTTTTTTTTTTTTTTTTATCCCTTCCTTTGATGTGTTAACGTCGTTTTATTTGGACTGCACTCTCTCTTCGAGCGTTATGTGGGGGCGGCAGGGGTATGTAGAGAAAAACAAATAGTGCGGGGGTACGTTCAGGACCTCTTCCTCTTGATTTTCGCTCGTCTCGCTGCTGCACACGTGTGACAAATAAAAGTAAAATATTTAAGTTCTCAAAAAAGGGAAAAAAAGGGAAAAAAAAGAAAAATGTGCGGGTCCAAAAAAAAAAAAAGGAGGACACGGGAGGCCACCAATGTAAAACACAGGCGCCATGAAGTGCCAGGCCGCAAACAAAAAAAACAAAAACAGTAGTAGTAATAAAGCACACCAGTTTTTTCATGTTGTAAGGAAATAGTCCTTACGGAAAAAGAAAAAAAAAAAAAAAAAGAAATCAGGTGACAGTTAATTTCTAGTAATGGTGGGAACACAAAAAAAAACATTTTTTTTTTTTTTTTTCCTAGCGACGATAGTACACGACCTGTGACTCGCCAGCAAAAGGATTCTTACCGCCCGCTGCTTCTCCTTCTACGTGGCCAGAAGAGAGCTGTAACTCCTTCTCCTTCTGTTTGTTTCCGTGTCGCAGTTCGGTTCGGCTTACAGTAACAGATTTGCTTCGACGAGCCCATTTTTTCACTTCCGCAGATCTTCCTTCACATGGTGGGCTTTCCCCTAACAACTCGGGGACGGGAGGCCCTGCGGCAATGAGCGAATTGGTGATCTCTGTGCGTGACTCTAAAAACCGAACCGCATCATCGAGACGCTCATCAAAGGTCTCATAATAAGTATTGTTCTCCGGCAAAGTAACACGCAAGTTATTATCCATAACAGCCGTTTCAGCAACGGAGGTCCGACGTTTCTTTTGTGGGGGCGGCACATCTAGCGAGATCAATTGTGATTCAACGCCTTGGCTTCCAGAAGGCGAAGCATGCAGTCGGCGTTTGCTACGTGTTTCGCTGCTCGTCGTGATTGTTCCGCCCTCCTGAATTACCTGCGATGAGTTGCTGATCGCTGCAGCCTCTTCCATCCCGTCCCCAGCTTCGGGCGAAGCAGCAAAAGTTGTGGGTCTCAAACTCGTCAAGGCTGCTGTTGCGACGGCACCCGAGTCCGCCGCCAACTGGCGTTCCCACACAGAGATTGCCAACGCAGCCCTGATGGCGGAAGGTAACTTCATCCACGCCACATTTACGCGCACCACCGGGGGCAGAGGCGGATCCTGTAACCGAGGGCACAGTGTCCGACAAGCAGAGAAGTACTGAGCATCGTTGCCTTCTTCCTGCTGCACCAAAACCGGTGCCTTCACCGCACCGTTGACGGACACAAGGGCCAAGACAACCTGCATCCATACCAGATGCGCGACACCAACTTTATCGCCAACCCGAAGTGTGACGGACTCGTTGCAACGAAGAAGAACGCGATTCTCTCCGGCAGTGCGTCTGGAGACGGTGATTGTATTCTTTCCAATACACTTCAACACCAAACGTTGCGCCACATGCGGATGGACGCGAGCGGTTAAGGGGATTTCTTCGGGCGAGGTGTTTTCCACCCACAAAGACATCATCCGCCGGGAATAGCGCGGATTGTTCCCAAGACGCCAATAAAGTTCCGGTGAGTGTCGACCCAAATATTTGACGGCGCCGTGGTGCCGCTCCGAACCACAAGACGGCGGTGGCGGTATGTCCACGTAAGAGGTGCCAAACGAGGGGTTGCCGCAGTGCACCAAAAAACAGCGAAGCTCCATCTCGTCAAGTTTATTCGACGCTCTCACAGGTTTACTTCTCACAAAACGAATGCATATAAATAGAGAGAAGAGAAAAAGAGAGAGAGGGAAGGTGTGATGAGGCAAATTAGAAAAAATAGAAATAAAAGTGAATAAATTTCAATTGAAGACGCAGATAACTCAACTTCCAACACACTAATATTATTTATTATTATTATTATTATTTTCCCACTCCTTCGCTCTATCTTGTTTTACTGGACATAAAGGATTCATCATGACTTTCAGCCACACCTTCACCAACTCCCCAAAACAAACTTCACTGCTTACCATTCTATCCATCCCTGCCTTTGTGATACCACACTCGGCTGACATCAAGAGTAAATCCAAAGAGTGAGTCTGAGGCAGGAATAAGCTCAACTTCATTCAAAACATTTTCCACTCCCCTTCTTGACCAACTGCGTAACCCTGCAGTAAACGACCCATCATCATGTCTCTCTCTACAGGAACTGTATAAAGTAATATCACGGACAAAAACACAAACACAAACACAAAAGAAAATAAAAGAATTTTCCTCAATTCTTCTTTTCCGGCATCATTTTTTTAACCGCCTCTGACCAGTGCTGGACCGACTCCATGAACGGCCGGGCAATGCTTGCCAAGGCGTATTCATCCGCATGCACAATGTCAACGCATACGTTCATAATAATGAGTTCATTGCGTAAACAAACGCCAACACCACCAGTGGCCATGTCGCGGCCAAGTAAAGCTCCCTCAAGCAACATCTCAAACAACTCTAGTCGCTTTCCAGCATTCGAAGGTAATGAATTTGCAATGACAGCATACATAAACAGACGCTCTGTGATGGTATCAAGCGTGACAAGAATATTTGTTCCATCCCCTAACGGTAAAACGCACGTGTCATTATCATCTAGGTGTAGTTGGGGAATGTTTAGCTCGAGTGAGAGTTGTTTCAAACTTTTTTCAACCTTTTCAGCTACATTCATCGCCGGCTGCCGTTGTCGAGTTTGCTGTGTTATCGTCGTCCCCTGCTCGAGAAGCCTCTGTTGCTGAGATCGAACCTGTTCCTCTAAGCTGCGCACCAGCGCCCTTTGCTCCTCTTCAAAAAGTGTCTGCTCCCGATGGAGTCTCCGCCTCTCCTCCCGCATGAGGTCAAGTTCCTTCACGAGCTCCTCCTCTTTGGCTCGCCATTTTTCCTCCGCAGAACGCCCCACCGCCTCCTTTTCTCTTAATAACTGTGCAATGATGCCCTTCAACTGCTCAATTTCCTCCTGCAATCGCCAGTCCGAGGAGGCATTGGCAAGCCGACGCTCCATCTCTAACAAACGCTCCTCTAGCCGAGCATTTTCTATTTCCAGTGCGTGAGCCTCGCGTCCCATGCGTTTGCTGCGGTAATTCATTTCCCTCGGCGGTGGGCTCGTAAACGCCTCACCACCGTTCTGGCCATCGCGAGGATGACTGCCTTGAAGGGGCGTTAACAACCCCGCGGTTGGGGAGGCGCATGAAGCGGCATCAACGACCGATGATCTTCCACGATGCGCCACACCGCCCATCGACATTGAACTGCTAGGGAGTCTGTTCACACGACGACCATCACCACTATTGGTACGACGCATCCCTTTCACGTGACGCAGTTGCAACACCGCTCCGTCCACGAGGCCCACATCGCCTCCACACTCACCATCTTGCATGACTCTGCCTCTAAAAGAAAGTTCTTGCTGCTGGGCGCTGAGGCCTGTGGCATTCTGCAAATATCGCTTTAACTTCGACGTTGTCAACAAACGCACATCCCCCTCCATCACAAGTCTATATTTAAACCCGTCAATGTCGGACAGGACGTAAACACATCTGGTGCCACCCGTTTCGCTGTTACTCATCTTCTTTTTGTTAGTCATTCACGCACACGGAAGGAAACGCACTAAGACTGGTCCTCAAAAACAAAAAACACATAAAAAGAAGAATAAAGGACATATATATATTTATATTTATATATTTATATAAAAATCCATGAGACGCACGCACTGGAGGTGTGACTGAGCCATGGACCGTAAAAAGTGAAAAATTTTTTATTTCCTTCCGCCTTCCAATTGGTGGTGCAATGCTCATGGCCACTGTTTTCAAGAGGCCCCCCAAAGCAAACACTCCTCCATATCCCCCCTAAAGAAAAAAGAGGGCAGGATGAAAAAAAAAGAAAAAAAAAAAAAAACGGCGCATTCACACCCTCATACATGCCCCACAACTGTTATATTAAAAAGTGCCGCAGCATTCCCATCTGGTATTCCATTTGTTCCTTCAACTGCATCTTCAATGATTCCATGAAGCATAAGGCACTTTCCACCGCATCGCGGACGGCGTTGGGTGAGTCCTGAGAGTGGCTCATCGAAAATCCCCACTGTGCGTCGTATTCGGTGTCGCACTGCCGCAATATAAACCGCGTCCCCATGCACAACTGCAGGCCTATGACACGACTAGCCGAACCCCTGACCAGCATCCCAATTTGTTGAAATGTCAGCTTTTCATCCACAATTCGCCGTTCCACTTGAGTCGCAACCAAAATCCTCGGCAAGGATTGCCTAAAAGAGGTGCGCTGACCGTTGCTGCCTCGAGTGGCACTCATTGCGTTTTGTTTCTGCAACACGGTGCCATCCGCTACGAATTCGTAAAGGGATTCGTCAATAAATCCTAATTGGGCAGAGAGATATCCAGGGGCAATAACCGTATGAATGCGACTATACATCCGCGTAAGAAATTCATCTTTCCAATCCCTCTGCAGCTTCACAGTTGGGAGCCACGAGGTTTCAACATCATGAAGAAGCTGTAAAAGTTGCTGAAGGCGCTTTTTTATCCTCCCATCTCGACCCAACAGTCCTTGGCGTCGTTTGGGAAAGGATAATAAAAGTGCGGAATTAATGTCTCCTTCAATGCCATTCAAAAGTTCTTCCGTGTGCTGCTCCGCCAAGCTCTGCATTTCTTCAAACGCCTCGTATGACTCGGATGCCATTTCCAGCGCAAAGGCAAAAGCAACAAAGCGATTAATCTTCCCCAACCACCGCACACAACGCGCGAGAAGCTCTTCGCGAAGTTGCGCCTCTTTTTCATTTTCTATAAACATGGAATTTATAAATGTCATGGTGTATTGTAGCATCCACTCCGTTGCATACAAGGTGGCCAGTAGCGTCAGGGTGATTGGAGCCATATGTTCCCTAAAATACGCCATGACAGCCTCTGCCCCGTGAAGAGGCACCGCATCCTCTTCTTGAACGGGAAGCTTCACTTGAATCTGTGCGTCACCCTCTTCCACCACAGCGAGAGCCACAGAGAGGGATTCCAGTAGATTCTCGAAAGTAAAAGAAGCACATTCACGAGCAACACTCTCCTCTGCAACTTTTATGTTCTCTTCTAGCTGACGCTCAACCTCCACTAGCGTCTGCACCTCCACCTCAGTCCTTGTAAATTTATTCATAACGCTTGAAGGAGAATTGCTCAGGAGTGCCAAACCAGGTGGCATCAAAACTTTTCCAATTGGATCCTCGTCCGCGTCACCAATTTCCTCACATTCTTCCGATACATCCCCCGATTCTACAACCGCCGCTGCAGCTGATACGACGTTGGTGGGCAAATACAGCGCTGTCTGCGGTTGGTACAAACCACTCTGTACAGTTCTTTTCGCTGCCTTCCCAAGACCACTGCCGAGCATCAACTCTTTCACATAAGTCTTCTGCCGCGCTCGCTGTCGCAAGCGAAATGCCTCGTGGATGCCGGCCTCCGCCTCCTCACGGTTGTAACCGTCCTTAAATTCGCCAAATGCGGCGTAAAACGGCGTACCAACGGGCGATTCATCCATCCCTTTTTGTTTTCACATGGACGACAAACGCGCATGTTAATGGAAACAAACGGACACGAAGGGAGAGAGAAAGAAAGAAAAAAGGCAAAAAGAAAAAATAATAGTTTTAATGGCGACCAACTAAAAAAAAAAATATGTAAAATTCATTTATTTTATCTTTCATATCCCCACAATCTTGCTGCTGGCCACACACGCAGTCACTCTTCCACTCGTTCTTCCAAAAATTACACTGCTCTCGTCAAACACTCAAATCTTTTGTTAGCATCATCCACACTATGATACCTAAAAAGATTACAAGAAGCACCGGCGCAAGAGTGCCCGGCTGGTACTTCGCGTCGAGGGCACCTTGAAAGTAAAATGTGAGGATAAAAACATCGTCTTCGCGTCGCAGCACCTTTTCAGCGTTCCGCGGGGTAAGCCAAACCTTGCAACACCTTCGATGTAGCTTCCAGTCTAACGTACCCCCGCCATTGCGGCAATTAGGACTGCTTACCATCTTGACAGGAGAGGAAAACACTGCACGACACGCAATTTCGTCCGGCAAACGCGGTGCGCACACAAAAGGATACAAAACCTGCAACGCGTGAGGCTCACACCACATCATTTCTTTTGAAATCCATCGGATCTCTACAATTACCTCTGCCCCCACCTCCGCCGCCTTGCCGCCAAGCACGTCGGATGCATTAGGCGTAATGCTGTAGATTGATACAGGGTGCTTCCGTCGGATATCGGTAAAATTTTCATCGGGCATGTCTGTTGCCATCTTAAATCGCCGTAAATTTCCCGATGCACTATCCTCGACGCTCACCAGCTGTCCCACAACTAGTCTACCATTAATTCGTGCCATAATTGACGTCACGGCCCCACTGCATCCGCTGACAGGAAAGATAAGCGCAAATCGCCTCTCCGAGACGTCCCCAACATGATATTTCGTTCTCAGGCGATACATCACCGTTTTTTCAGTGGTTTGAATTTTCAACAAACAAGATGTGCAGCGCAGAGGCTTTCCAAGTGATTGGGCCCAGGAAATGAGTTTCTCTGACAAATTCATTTCCACTGACGCAAATTTGCCACAAGCAGAAGACGATGCCGCTCCAATGTCAACAGCATAAAGGCCTGCCATGACATGCTCCCACTGTGGCATCTTCAATCCAGGTCGCCGAAGAGGTTTCGGTTGATTGCCATATCCAAACATTCTTTACCGTTGCCTTCTCTTCTTCTTTTTCCGTGAATGTGTGTGATTGTAACACCACGTCACGGCAAAAAAAAAAAAAAATGGCCGAGTGGTGCCCCCAATACTATTAATAATGACAACCCACACACCCTAATGTATATATATTATATATATATATATATATATATATTACAGAAATAAAAGAAGTTACATCCAAAAGAAAACAAAGCAATAAATATTATTCCCACGCCCAAGACGTGTGATGAGGTGAAAGAACAAAAACCAAGGCATTTTCAGAATTTGTAGGATATTTTTTAATTCGACGAGAGAAGTGAGTTATTTGCAAAGAACAGGTAAAAGATGCTTGCAAAGAAGTGAACCCACAGCTTCAATCGCAGGCACACGGAAACAGTTAGAGTCCGAGTTAAGTAACCCAAAAGTAGCGGTAAACCAAATGTTTACCAACAGAAATTCGGGTTTTGGAGACGGAACACGGCCCTCCGCGTCTCTCTCCCTCAGTCCCTCTCTCTATATTCCAATTTTTAATATTCATCCACGGAAGAACCACTAGCGCCTTCGTCACTATCGTCTTCGGCAGCAAATGATGATGCGGAGGAAGAAGATGAGGAAGATTCCGAAGAAGAAGAATCGGAGGATATCTTTGATTCCATCCGAGGCGCGTGACATTTGACACACTCCGGCACACTTGTTGGCATAAGTATATTACAGTTGGGGCAGAACCACAATACCACGTCCAGCCGGTGCGTTGGCGGCGTCCATTGTACCTCGTGTGTCTCACTATGGCTATAAAAGACATGCTGTGTGATGGGATCGTAAAACTCATGCCACTCCTCGCTCTTGTGGTCAAACTCGCAGTCACGAGTGTCGTGAATGCCGCCACAGTCGGCGCAGCGGTACTTCTTGACTGGGCACTGCGCCGATGGATGTCCTCGCTGAGCGCACTTCCAGCATCCCCTTTTTCTATCCATTAATGGGTATTGTTCGGGGTTCCGTTGTAGTCGGGGGCAGGCAACTGTCCAATGGTTCTTTGTGCATATGTGACACACAAAAGACGCCGGGGCAGAAGGAAGAATAACTTCTCCTTTCTGCTTCTTTCGACGCCGCTTACCGCCGCGCTTTCGTCGCTTTGCCGTCGGCTTCGGCGGGGACATGCTACGATCCCTTTTGGCCATTCAAAGTCGCTGTCGTTTAAACACACGGCAGCTTTCCGTCAGCTGCAAATTAAAAATAACACCACAAAAAAAAAAAAAAAAAGGCGTCCAGAAAAATAAATAAATATATGCAGACACGCAGAAAAAACAGCCACGCAAACAAGACATGTATATTCCGTGCTTTCGCAATAATAATAATAATAATAATAATAATAATAATAATAATAATAATGATAATAATCAATCGTCCTCTTAAGACGGTGCACCACCGCGTCGTTCGGCAAGGATATCCCCTCCCCTATCAATGAGTTCACGCGTAAGACACCGCTGCATGTGAGCCACGGCAGAAGATGTCATGTATTCCTGAGGAGCCGCAGCACACGAAAGCCGCCACATTTTCTCGGCCTCCGAGTCCTTTCCACAGACAGGGGTCATGGCCTGCAGCCGAATCTCCTCGCCAGACTGCAGGGGGCGGGACGGGACAAGAAAGATCCATTTCCCTTCTCTGTCACGCATAAAGTCATAGCCATGGTGTTTGCTAAAAAACGCTGCAATTCTCTCCGTTGAATTCGGCCGGCTCGTACGGGCAACAAGAAAGGAATTCGTTTCTTTCCCACCATGTGGAAACAGATGAACAATAGGTATCATCCCAATGGATCTTGTAGAGGCAATCACAAGCGGTGTGGAATGCGACAGACAGACACTTACTGCCCATCGAAGCTCCGCACGGTCTAATTTCCCCACAAGAGGTCCTCCATTGATGTAATTCCGAATCATTTGAAGTAAAACATCGGCCAGGCCTGTCGTCTCTGAGTCCAAGACCACATCGTCTTCAAAGTAAGGCGCATTCTTGAGCGTTCGCACCTTACCAAGAAGCTCTGCAAAGACCCATCGAGGATCGGTGAGTGGACTACTCTTCGCTGCCACAAGATCCGATACGATCATGTTCAGTGAGTCAAAAAAGAATCGACAAACGTCAGCATCTGTCCCCTCGCCGGAGTTCAGTTCATTAAACTCCTTTTCACGCTTCTCATTCCTTAAATCGTTGTCAAAATCGCCAGCGCTGCTAATGTCCTTAAATCCAATGGCAAGCGCTTCCGGAATGGCAAGCAATGGCGTCAGCCTGTCAACATCCTGTGAAACGGCAAAAATATGATCACGGTACAAAGATGGATGTCTGCGCATGCACACAGCAGGATGAATAAAAAGACGTTGATCATGACACCACATCATCAAACGATAGTAGTCATGTGCGTCAGAAAACTGTGAAAGCTCTCGTGCATGGTGGAGGTAAAGACGTCGGCGATGCCTTGCATAAATAATCCATTTATTGTCATCGTCTTGCCCCTCTTTTGTGGACTGCAGGGTATTATCCGCGTTTATGCGGCTACACCCACCAAGAGCATAAAAGCACTGGACAAAGGGCGTAATAATGCAGTCCTCACCTCGTGGCTCATTCTGCTGCTTTTGATCCTGATGTGCTCTGGCCCACAGGAGCAAGGGGGATATCATAAACCTTAAAAATAAATAAAAAACCCCGTAGTCCTTAAAAAAAAAATAAATAATAATTAATAAATAATAATAATAATAATCAACGCCCATTTCCAACCCCAAACGCATGTAAAAAACGAAGAAAACCCTATTTTATTGATAGCAGATTTCCCGCCCCCACACATCTCGGCCCTTTTATTCATCTTAAAAGAAATTTATACAATAACTTCCATTTATGTCCCCTCCGCGAGAAGAAGTTCAGCGACGGAGGCAAACACTTTTTTCACCTCTTTGGTTTTCACACCGACTATGCCCCCCTCCCCCAAACTCATCCGTTTTTGTTTTTTTTTTTCTTTCCGAAATATTCGCCTGGGCTGTTGGCCGAATCCTGAACAATACATACAAAGATAAATATATATATATAACATGATGGAAAAAGGAAGAAAAGGTAAATGGAGGGGCAATCATTTCGCCACATCCTCCATGTTTACTCCAAGTAATATTCAATATATTTGAACGGCCACTCTCGTGACATGCTGCACTCTATTCGGATTAAAGATATGTTTATTACTTACAACGTTGCAGACTTTGGGTTCCTCCAACCAAAAAAAAAAAAAAAAAAAAAAACTCGACGTGAGGGGGGCGAAATCAAAATAGGGATGGGTGAAGTGGAAAAAAAATAAAAATAAAAGATAAACAAATAAATTCGTCTTACCGTTAACGGTTCATTGATTCCTTCCATCGCAGTCTTCAAAAGGATCATACGATAGAAACGAATTGTACAGAGATATCTTCTTTTTATCGGAAAATGCATATTCATTCAGGTAACTAGCGTTCCTCGCAAACATTCTCTTCACAAGCTCCCAATATATATATATATATATATATATGCATCCTTATGATTGGCTTCTGGAGCCCTCAGTGCATTGGATGAGACATCCACTACAGCCTCACCGGTGTTTTGACCGCAAATGCGATGGATCTAGCAGCTGCTTCCACCCTTCCGTCTTCATACATGCCCTCGCCTTCTCAAAGTTGGTCTCCAATTCCTCCATTTCAATTTCAGTGGGGCAACGACGATCAGTAACTTCCTCGGCAACCTTCAATAGACGTGCATGCGCAAAGAGTGCCTTGATGGGAAACTCCTTCACCAAAAGATTGCAAGGAGGTGCTGCCTCCATGATGCTGCGCCGGAACTCCTCATCCATGACACGTAAGGAGTCGTCCAAAACCACATTTTGTTTTTCATTTAAGTGTCGCACAATTTCACCAATAAAAGCTTCCCGCACCCCTTCTTCCCACGAGGAATCATCGATTGCGGCGACAACTTTTCCAGCAACAGAATCCTCGTTCAGAACAATATATGACTTGTCACAACGATCAATGTACTGGTTGATCCAGGTCGTCTTTCCACTGCCAGGAATGCCAAGGAGCAGAAGTAAATTTGGAAGGGAATTCTTTACTTCCCCGTTTCCATGATGCTTCTTGTGTTTCTTCTTCGAATTGCCATCCCTGCTGCTACTTCTCCTTCTGCTCCCATGTGTGTGTCTATGATCGCCGCCGCCCCTCAGGGCGGGGAATAACCGACGCAGAAGATACAAGGCAAGAATATTTAACAAAATACAGAGAAGCGTCACAACGGTCGTCTTGAAGCCCAAACGTCCTGTACGCCACGCCATCACTTTCCCCATCATATTGTTGTCAGCCATCTTCTACACCCAACGTCGCTCCCTAGTTCTATTCCTTCTTTGCCTTCCTTCTCGTCCCTTGGCTATTGTTATGGCTTTGTGTCGTTGACTATTGTTCTCTGCACCAATAACACAGTTAACAAAAAAAAAATAATTAATAATAATAATAATAATAATCAAAAACAAGTGTCAATTGGCAACAGAAGAAGTACGCGTTGTCGAGAAAAGAAAAGGATCCTCGTTGCCCTCTATTTCCCCCCTCCTCATTGTTTGCTCTCATCAAACGTCTCCAGGAATCTATACGACTCAAACATGAACGGTTCTCCCATGAATGAGACGGAAGGACACTCTATGGGGTAATAATAAGAAATAGATATAAAAGAAAATCCGGTAAGAAACGTTAAACAGGTGGTGCAGAAAGAAATAATAATAATAATATGGTAATAATAACCTCCCAACAATGTCAGCTTCTTATTTTTTTTTTTTTTTTTTGCCTTCATTTATCATCCCGACTCCATTGAAATGGTCACCCCATACTGCACTGGGCTCTTCTCAAGCATCACATTCTTGCGGGCAATTAAGGCCCAATGAATTACCCCGTTAAAGATGCCACGAATGGTCGCAGCGCATACACCGTCGCTCTCTGCCTTAACGGCCCCCACAAATGGTAAGATCGCCGTCCACTCATCCAAATGCTCCTCCGAGCGCTGCTGCAGGATGGTCGGCAGTCGCAGACGAAAGCCTTGTGAGAAACCCAAAGAGAGGTGTGCACGGGACTCCAACAAATCAAAGTTATACCCACATGCCACCATCGTGTTGGGCGCCATACGCTGATAAAACGCCACTCGAGCCGCGTTCCAAGCATCGTGTGCACGCACCATCTTTGCACCAATCGACCAGTTGACCCCAGTGAAGCCTAAACCTGCATATAGCACATCCATCTGCGCTGAGGCATCGTGATGCTCAAGGTAGGACAGCTTTTGCCTTTCAAAGCCCGCACCAACGAGAAGATTAAAGAATTTCGTTCCGCAATCCACCAAGAGATCACTACTGCCAAGTCCATTGCGTTGGTAGCCGAGTGTAGTGTAAAAATCACGCCTTTGATAATCTATAGTAGCCACCGACACATCCTCCGATGCGGGGGCAATCGTATTAACGGAAACCCGACCCTTAAGTTCGAGGCCCTCAAGAAGATCAATCAATTTTACGTTGGTAGCAACAACTCCCCTGCTGGTTAACGTCAAACCCTGCTCAAAGCGACAAACACGTTGAATACAGAGGCCGCACCCAAGCTTGATCTTTCCAAATCCCGTTCCATCCTTATTAATAGTCAGACGGGGAGAGAAAGTCATGTAGTTTTCCTTTTTGGACTCAATTGCAGCCGTCTCCTGTGCCGTTGCAGGCGTTTGAACGTCGGTTTTTCCGGATTCCAGTGGCGAGGGCGGAGGGGCTGTAAAGAAGAGTTGTTTACCCGGAAAAGACTCGGAGTACTGCCGGGATTTTACCGCCACAAATACTCGTGAGTCATCACGGAATGTCTTCTTGAAGAAGTCGTCCACAATTCCAAAGAATTCGCCCAACTTCGACGGCGGGTTCATCAGCGTAAACGAAGCCACACTTCTTTTTCCCCCCCAAGAGCAGCTAATTCTACACCGACAAGCCTCTTTATATATATTTATATTTATTTATTTATTTATTTTGGTTCCTTCTCTCAATCTCTATTCTTTTTTGTTTTTACCTCCCCCTCCAGCGCCAAATGCAGGCAAGCCACAACCGCAAAGAAGGGGAGAAACGCACAGAAGCACAATTTAAGACAGTCAAGGATGGTGAATGCAAACAAAAACAACAGCCCCCTTCAAAAAAAAAAAAAAAATTTAAGGAATTTATACTCGGATGGAGTCATGCCCCTTCTTCCCTCGGGAAGTAACGATACAATAAAGGAGACTAACGGTTTGGTTCAATGCGCCCAACATCCCTCGTGATGATTAGGCGATTTATCCGGCAGTCACATACATCAGTAAGCCAATTATTTCACAAATATATGTTTCATAACCGAGCTCGTTGTGGAATGACAAAGTAGCCGTCTTTAGGGCCCGACAGCCAACAGACTGCCCATCGCGTGAAGGACAGTAATACCGTTATTATTATTATTATTAGTGGTAGTAGTAGTGGTGGTATCGAGTGTGGGTGGGATGAAAGAAAAAAAAAAAACAACAACAACAACGAGAGAACTGCCCTCGCTACCTTGCGACACGGTGGCTTTTAAAACAAATCAATGAACAGTTACAGAAACGCGCAAAGTAAACAAGAAAGTCACACATGTATTTAGCCCCATGAGAGTACACACTTCACCCAAGAGGTTTCTAACCTTCCCCTTCCAGAAAAAAAAAAAAAAAAAAACTCTTTCATCGAGTAAACACCACACAATCGGCAGCATGTTGTGAAAGCTCAAACAATACAAATGGTGTAAACATATTGAGATTCTCTTTACAATACATCCCACAGCCACACCGACACATCGCAAATATAAATGAATAATGTACAAAACCGTCACGCATAACATTGCAAAAAGGAAACGTCAGAGGATCATCCGGCTGATGAAATTGTGGGAGGTGCATGACTACGGGCATTTGTCCGCTTCACGGTAAGGGAAAAAAATGCAATAGCAAGAATGCACACACGCCTCACAAAAGCAACAAACACACACACACAAAAAAAAAAAAAAACTATATATGACAATCCGCAAAGGGAAGGGCATGCATATATGCCCACTCACTCCTCCATCTATCAAGCAAACACACACAGACGCAGAAACCGAATCGCCCAAATCTCAAATATACAAAAGAAGAAGCGCCCAGAAAACAACATTCCGCATAAACACAGAAACAAAAAAAAAAAAAAAATAATCAGTAAAGATATTTCCTTTTTTTTTTTTTTGTCTGTGTGTGTGTCTTTGTCCATCGTCTGACTGTGTTTCGGTTGGCGGAAGTTGTTCCTCCTCCTCATTCTACTCCCCTGTATAACGCCTTATTTTCCATGCAACATCGCATCACACAATAATTGAGGAAACAAAGGCCAAAAAACGCTCCGCGTATTCGCGAGGAGGGACGGAAGATATCTTCTTTGAATCGTTTACCAAACCAAACCATGACGTCTCTAAATATTTCCGTGCATTATACTTCTGCAAGATATCAATGATTCCAATGTAATATATTTCCCTCCGAGTACCTGGCTGGTCCGTGCTACGCATGCCACCTTCATCGGCAGTAAAGCATCTTCCGTCAATGACAGGCTCGTTCGGGGAAATGTGAAAAACACCATTTGTCTGGTTAAATTGTCCATCTAAAACCCCACTAGCTAGCGTGCCATCAAAGGCTAATGTTGACGATAACATATTTATGCTTTCTTTTCCCCCCATTACACTAGTCCCCAATCTCCGTGAGTCGTGCATCGGCAATACATGAATACCAACCAGAAACGAATAATCCATGACGTGTGATCGTTTCAAAAAATCACAGTCCTTATTGATTTGCTCAATAAGTTGTTGTCTTCGCGCCGGCCCCACATGTATTGGACGGTTTAAATCAAGATCTTTTTGTGTGCATGTCTGTTTTCTTTTTTCGGCTTCGGTAGCAAAACGTCCTACCGTACTTCCTTTAAGATCATATTTTTCATGTATTGCATTCCCTGTTGCAAAGACATTTTGCATTATAATAAAATTTATCTTATCCCCAGCAATTTCAAGGCGATGATGCCCAACAAAATGGGGCAGTAACGTGTGTGGATTATCCAGCACAAAAAAGTAGTAGCGATGCAAGATACTACGCAAAAACTCACTTTCCTCTGTGGTCATGGTTTTTATAACCCAGTCCTTACCACAGAAAAAGAGCTGTGCAGCCGACTTCCCTGGCGTAGGCGTACTATGCCATCTACTGCGCATCAAAACATCACAATAAGCCCTCGGCTCAATATTGAAAAATTCCCGTATATGACGATAACACATTGGAGAATAGTCCGTAAATTTAAAGGAAACTTGTGGACCTTCCTCATCGTCAGCACCGTCAGTATCACTATAAGTAAAATTAACTTTACTATTTCCACTCTCGCGAACGGACATGACTTGTGAAGAACGCCGCTTCACCGCGGCTGCACCACCACAACAGCCTAACCCTAATGTATTGTTTTTTTTCACTTCGACCTCAATCGTTGTTTCTATGGTGAAGTCTTTCTTCGGGTTCAGAGGTCGCTGCTTGGCTGGATGAGAAATACTCGTGATACTCTGCGCCAGGGCCCATTTCATACAACGAATAATGTCACGCGTTGCCTCGTTTTGTTGGGAAACGGGTTCTCCTGTAGCATCAAGTGACTCTCGCGCCTTCACGTTGTCATTGAGGCCGCCTCGTATGGGCGAGTTATTCCTAGAGGATGGCTCAGACTCAAATGAGATGGAGGCAATTATTTCCCTGTTGTATGGCATCAATGGATACTTTACCTAAAAGTTGGCAGTCGCAGTTGACCGAATTCGTATCTATCCAGCGCAAATAGAAAAAGAAAAGAAAATCAAAAGAAAAAAAAAATGTCATTTCCCGCATTTCCCCAGGCATGAGTCCCCCCGCTCTCTACATCTCTATATCTTTGTGCGTACGTGCGTTTTATTCTGTCCCCTGTATGAGATGTTATGCGCGGTCCATTCACATTTGCTACTCTCGCCCCCAATAGAAACTTCCCTTTTCTGCTTTTTTCTACTCCAAAAGTTTTTTCTTCTTTTTTGTTTCTCATTGCTGTTTATAAGGAAAAATAAAAATAATAAATAATTCAACAGCCGCCTACGAGGTCATTCCAGAGAGCGTGCAGGCAAATAAACCACCACGCACGAAGGACTTCATCGTCGGAGTCTTCTTTAGTCAACACCGTGAGGGACAGTGGCAATATTAGCCCGATTATCACAAATAATTGCTGGTCAATTGTACTGCGTTGGCACGCTCGCCGCTGGATTATTACTGTGCTGCCAAACATTCCTTCATAGCGCTACGTCAGTGTGTGCGACATGCTCACAGCAGAGTAAAGGAAGATCGGCTGTCCAGACGGCCATGAGAGGCACATTTTTCGCCGTATCCGTTTCAGGATCCAATTAAAAAAAAAAAAAAAAAAAGCAAACCCTCCAGCATCAAATGATGCCTCTTCCGCCTGTTGCCCCCCCACGGCGTAGAAGGGCGAGTTGCGAGGTGAAGTAATGGAAAATATCTTCGCTCGCAGGAAGAGCATCATTAGGAACAAAAAACGTCAAAAGGAAACGTTCCTCGTTGCTCAGAACGACGCTGCTCCCATGAAAAAGAAAAAACCGCACCAACTGTATCTTCATTCGCTGATACATATTCCCGATGTCGGCTGTGTCTTCGTTTTTTTCCCCCCGCACACCGTCAGCGTGAGTTACACGCTCAAATTGACAAGGCGTACAGCCACCCACCAGCTTTGGTTTGAGAGATGAATACGCCGTCCCTCCATTAGCCCTCCTAACCCCATCCCCCCAGACGCACCTCCAATGTGGCAAATGGAAGATAAAAAAGGACGCTCAAAAGAAAGCGGACGAGGCACAGCTCCGACTGCTCCTGCGAAAACACACAACCGACACAATGTCAACACTGTTGGAAAAATAACGTCGCATCTGCCGCTCAAAGGTGGTTTTCTGTTGCAATGAAAACCGCTTTCGCTCACCAAACAGGGAAACGACGGCATCATATTCCCTAACACAACGATCAACCGCAATGTAGTTTGTATGCCCCACAATTGTAAAATACGACCGGTCACTTCTATACCGCACTGTAAGATGCCACTGTATTTGACGTACGCCCGCCTCCAGATGATCCTTGCGCACACACAATCATGTTTCTGTTGCAATAAGAACATCCCCTTCAACAGAAGCTTCTTGCTATGGCTTGGAGTTTTTGAGCCAACGCAATGTTGGCGCACGGTTAAATGCGGACCCGTAAGCCCTCGAAAAAAAAAGAATCCACATGCCCACCCTGTTCCTTTTTGCAGGTGCCCAGCGTGGAGCAAAATCCCCAGCGATGCAGCGCCAGAAAGAGTCGAATAAGGACCTCCGGTCCACCCCTTCGAACACCAACATGGATGGCGCGAGAAGAGTGCGGGACGGCGGAATGCAGCACCGCGGGTCACACTTTTTCTTCCAAATCGTCGCACGCAGACTTTTCAAACCGACTCATGCAACGTGTGCTCGACACACATCGAAAGCAAGCAGTCGATGAGCGAACTGCATTCAGTGAGGTTCCCATGCGCGTGTTGAGAAACAGGCAGTCAAGGCAATTGCTCGCACCGCCACACGCGTCTCTCTCCGGCAGAAGTATTGGTATAAGCAATGGGGCATGCTCAGTACCACAGCCAACGCCCACGCTCCCCAGCAGCAGACACAAAAGAATGCGCACAAAAAAGGTGAAAAATGAATACCAAAGAGACAAGGCGCCCCGTCCGACTATCAAGACGTCTCCGCAGCCTCACCTGGTCTCGCTATTGCCTTTACCCCCAAACCCGCATTTCACAGATACTCTCAAGAAGACAAAATAAAATAAAAACAAAAACAACAACAAGAAATCAAAAAACAAACAAATATCAAAAACACCGTTACCTGTTAATCAGTACTACACAAAAAAACTCTGATACTGCCAGCAAAACCACCGCATATCATTAAAAGATCCTCTCATTAACAATAATAATAAAAAACAATAAGGTGAAACCCAATAAAAAGGAATTATGAGCCACTGTACCGCTTGTTCTTCTCCATCCTGGCTCTTTTGCGATTCGCGCCCCCCGTACCGTAAACCTGTCGAAGCGCAACAGCCTTCTCTTCTAATTTCATCCCCGCCCTCTTAGATACATCCTCACCGTTTGCTTCTGCCTTGCCATCCTTTTCACCCCCGTCTTCATTCTCAGCGGCCGTGTCCTCTTCTTCCCTCACTGCAATTTCCTCCTCATCCTCACCGTGGCGGCTAACACCATATTTTTTTACATCTGACAAAGTACGCGTAGTATCATATTTCTCCCTTGTCTCCAGGGCATCTCGTAGCTGTTTCTCCACTGTCTTTGCCCGCATTAATGTTTCCACCACCTCCTGGCCGGGTAGTGCGACAGTTGGCAGTCGCTTATTTCGAAGGACGGCAGCAACGCTGCGCATCGCATTAAACCACGCAGAAGGTTCTGTACTCCGCAAGGCTGCTGCTTCTTCCTTCAAAAACACCGGAGCTGGACGCCGTTCTATGGACGGAAGAGTCCCTGTCATGGGACAATGAACGCCAACGATACGCGGCATTGGCCCCGTTTCACGCGATGAGGGCTCAACCTTAACGTCGGACTCTGAATTCTTTGCAATGGCATCGTCACCCAGCGAATCCTTCACAATCTGAACGAGCCTCGTCACATTGGTGCGCACCACCATACTCACAGGGGTGCAGCATTTGAGAACATCATTAGCAGAAGTGGGAAGTTTGGTGGCAATAGCCAACACAGCGGAAAGATGCAGAACAGCCGGGGGCGAATCATCCACTTCCCTGGCGATGGCATCTCGCCAATTAAAGATCTCTCGCGCCACCTTCATTTGCATGGAAGAGAGTCCACCTAAACTCCGTCCCAAGGCAATTTTATACGATGCATCAGGATCCAATTGTGGTTTCTCGTAAATCTCCAGCGACAGTCGACGGCTTTCATTCAGCACATGCACAAGCAAATTTCCTATGGAGGCACGTCCCTCGCTGTTAAGAAGAAGTGTCTTCAACCGATCATATACGTATAAGAGGAAATGAGTATCCTGCCGTGCGTATGTCGCCATTTCTGCTGGAATGGGTCGAATACGCCAATCTGCCGTTTGATACTTTTTGTCCAGTTTCACTTGACAGAAATGATCCACAGCAAAGGCTAAACCGTGTGGCATGTGCAACGTCTGCAGGGCTATCCCTGTATCAAAGAAGTTCACAAGGTAAAGACCAAAGTCCTTTTGCAGCCACCGGATGTCTTCGCGTGCCCCATGAAGCACCTTTAATATGTTTGGATTCAAAAAAACAGGCGCTAACAGATGCATCGAAGAACGAAGTTTAAGACAATCAATCAAAATATCTTCACTCCGAGTACTGATCTGCATGAGACATGTAAAACCTTGATAGGAATAAAAACTGTGATGCTCCAGATCCACAGCAATCTCCTTTTCCTTCAAAAGTAAAGCAACAACGTCCTCCAAATCAACTGTGGCATCCACAAAACGAAGTGGACATTGAGCTAACGGAAGGTACGGCGTTTCTACACGACGAATCAGCTGTTCCTCAGGCATAGACATGTTTTTAATCAACTCAGCAAATGGATGAATGCCAGGCTGTCCCACATGTCGCTCACCTTTTTCGTCGTAGTAGACAGGACAGAACGGTGTGGGACTGTTGTCTACTGGATGTTCAAACGTCAGCTGCGGACGAAGAACACAGCCTCCTCCGTCCACGGCAAAGGAAGAGTGTTGTAGCTCCGAAACAAACGTTAGAGATAGCTGGTCTGTTGCGTTCAACCGCTTCCCTTTCAAATTATCTAACAACCCATCAACGTTCTCCAAAAGTGAATCCACCGCCTCCAAGACTGCTGAACGCTGCTGTTCCGTCAGAGTGCCAGCACCTGTTTTAAAGTCAGTTCGACGTTTCTCGGGAAGCAGTTGACAGCACTTATCCATGAACTCGACAAGAGACTCCCCGTGTCGCTTTATCTGCTGCCTAAACCCGGGGAAAGCCATGTGATAGTCGTAGTCATCCCATGGGAGCTCGCTCACCAATTTACCGTACTCCTTCACCAACCCAAAAGCGCCATTCACAATGTCCTTCGTTCTTGGAAAATCCCCTGGCGTGCCAAATTCCCCAGTCATACCACCTCCTCTTTTCCCTCCCTCGAATAGCAAAGAACGAACTAACAAACACAACAACAACAACAACAAAAGGCATTGGAGAGAAACAGAAGGAAGCATGTATGTAGCCCTTTTTTGCAAGAAGATCCTAAAACAGAGAAAATTCACACAAGCACGAATATACATATAAATTATTCAAATAATTTGAAGAAAAAAAAAAAAAAAAAAGAGTGATCGTCAATAAACCGTCGCGTTTTATTTTTGCTTCTTCCACGGTAGCAAATAATGGAGGCCAGACATGAAAAAACAGGCAAGGGCTCGTGAATATTCTTTTTTTTTTTTCTTTGCTCTATTAATGATCCACAGTCTATAAATGTGTAGCGCTCTCACCCTTGGAACGGCGTAGTCACGGCAGCCGCGAATTGCCGGTGATGGGTGCACTTCTCGAGCCGTTCGAAGGCGCCGACGACTCATAATACCAAAGACACATCAGCAAGAAGGCCCACAAACAAACACCCCACCCCACCCATCCCACAGTAAGTGAAACAACTGCGCGAAGAGTGAGGAAAAGGCAGCAGTAGAGAAGACAAAACGAACAATCCAATCGATAATAGCAATGGCAGCAGAATCATCAAATGTTAAAGACAAAAATAAAAGCAAGAGAGGAAGACCATTCAAATCAAGTTCCAATCGACGTTTTAAGCTTTTCAACGGCACTAGAACACCTATTATTTAATACCTCTCGCTCGCCACATTGAAACCCTGTCAACAAAGAAACGGAAAAGAATCTATCTGGACAGGAAACATATCTAGATCACGTCCTTTAGTTTTCCTGTCAACATTGCATTTTCATAATGAGGGTCTTGTGCAACATTTGGTGATGGACTGGCATTCGAGCCTTCCCCTTTTGGCGTTACAGCAGTGCCAACATTTGTATACGCGTACACCAATCCTCCGCCAATAGCCAAAAAGATGCCAATATAGCCGGTAGTTGTTGGATACTGGTTAAATACGACCATTCCCATTATTGCCAGTGGGGCCTTATTAACTGCACCGATAACACTAAATGTGGTGGGAGAAGTTTCATTCATGCACCAAAAAACGCCAAATGTCATTAATGACCCTGCAACAACCATTAAAAAAAGAGCAAAAATTGCCCCAAAGGAGGCGGTGGAAACTTCACTCAACAGCTTGGGAAAAGAAGAGAAAGATGCCATAAAAAGAAATGGCAGCGAAAGCAAATTGTTGTAGAACACGGGTCCACACCGTCCAATTTGTTTACTTACGTCAGACAAAAGGTACTTCATGTACAATGTGTAGCTTACCGTGGATGCAATGTTGGAAATCGTCCAAAACATACCCCATGCTGTGACCCATCTGTCCCCCTTGGCTCCCAAATAACTGCCACAGATCATAAGACAAAAGGAAAGATACATCATACCTGTTACCCGCCTCCCGTATAATTTTGAGTCCCCAATGGCGGTAAAAATTACCGCAAGATTCTTAATAATCGTATGCATGGAAACAGACATTGTATAAAGACCTTTCATGGACGTCCACAACATGGCGACAAAGAGAATTGTAAGTGGGAGCCACTTTCTCGCCACCTCCATACTGAAGTCCGGGTACCAAACCCAATGCATGCACTTTCCAACTGAAACAAGAAGTACCGCGCCGAAGTTCTGCACAAACAGGAGTCCCATGGGAAAATTTAGCCCATAACTGAAGATGACCAGCTTGTTCAGTATAATCATGCTCATGCTGCAGACGCAGTAGGCCACGACGGAGGCCAAAACCTCCGCGGCCCTCCCACCCTTTAGTGAGCATTGCATAAACGAGCACTGCGATGCACAGACGGATATGTGCGAATTGCCAAGAGAATTCATAAAAAAATATTATCCACAGCCAACGGCAACCCAACCTACCGACGCAACAACAAAAAAAAAAAAAAAAAGGAAAAAAAATTTTCATTCTTCTTTAAGCTCAATTAAAAACAACAGTAATAACATTTCAAAGGATTTTCCAGGACAAAAATAGAAAATCAAACAAATCCCCTACGCCCTTCATAAACATATATATATATATATATATATATATATATATATATATATTAAGAGAGAGAGAAAGAAAGAGAAAAAAAAAAAAAAAGTGACTGGCATTGATATATGTATACATACCATGCAGAGCGCTCCGGGTCCACAGGAAGTACCCCACAACATCCACAAGACAGACGCACGCAAACACTCACTTACTCACGGCCGCAAACAAAAAGAGAGAGGGGAACAAAATAGTCAAGACATGAAAAATCCGTTTAAATCGGATAGACGACGCCATAAACTAAAAGGTTCCTCAACTCTGCAATAATTTCGGAGCGCGAGATCCCTCATCTTCGAATATTACTTCATACCATCGAAGAACACGCAAAAATTAAAAAAGTAGAGAAAGAGAAAGATATATATATATTTATAATATTGAAATTCCCGTTAATTCTTTTTCTTTCTTTCTTCCTCAAATTATTTCTCTTTCCCTCAACTTTCTTTTTTTTTTTTTTTTTTTTTTGTGTGTGTGTGTGTTTCTTTCTTCGTTAAATGTCTCCTATAACTCTAAAAATCATCATGTCCTGTTGTTCGTGGTCGTTTGTGGTATTCCTTTGCTTCACATACACTCTGCAGGTATCGGATATAGTCAATTGTAATTGCACCAGATATTTGCAAATAAATTTGAATACAGAGAATAAACACGTCAAAAAGAATGAAAAGAGCAAAAACAAAGAAACACACACACACACACACAAATCTTTCGTTATTCTCATTCCATGCCACACCCCTTTCACGTTCACTGTCAAACGCAATGGTGTGTATTCACAAGGAACGAAGCGTGCAATTGTAAGTCGTTTCCGCGTCTACATGCGCGCCATCAGCAACCTTGACGCTTGCAGGAGGCGGTAATGAAGAAGATGATCAATCATAAAGAGGGCCACCAATACCATGGAAATTGCAATAAAAGGAATAAAAATACGAATAAGAGTAGCTGTCAAGGGCTGAGTACATGTGGTAGTGCGATTTGATGGGCACTTGTGTTGCATACATATAGGAGACATGTTATCTGGCCCGCATATTTCACCAAACCCTGTACAATTGTGGAGTGCATAATAATAACAAAGCTCTGCTGATTCTTGCGCTAACCGAAAGAGGTATCCAAGTATATGAGAGTAAGACACCGCTCCTCCTATCATGACTAAGGCCATCGTATCCAGAGCTATTGCAACTGTTGCCGCCACAAGACGAAGGGCAGTATGAATTGAAAATGTTAGTGGTATTCGCATCCGAAGAGAGTGAAACGCCGTCATGCCGCTTGCTAACAGGCTAACAATACCTGCAAATGTCACTGAAAAAGTATAGTCTTTAACATAGCCGTAAATAAGTATGGGTGGTGCCGTTGCAAAAGAGTACGCGGAAAACCCAAGCAGAAGAAGTGACACAAGCATCTCAAGTATGGCAAGAGAAAAGGTTTGAGCAGGGATCCGTGTAAGGAAAAGAATGCCAGTTGCACGAAATAACCGATGTGTAGGCTGATACGTGTGAAAAAAGTTCCGCCTGTTGTTCGCCAAACGTTCGGCAGCCTTTGCCATCTCCCGTTCAGTCTTAATCAGATACGCTAACTCCTGCTTAGCAACATTTACAAGTAATTCATCCGCGATGCCTTTGCAATTACATCTCCACTCAATAAAAGGACGCAAATTTATCTTGCGTGGGTTGTTCCCTTGACTAGTGTGCACAAGATAACGCCGAACAAACATACGCAAACACTGCATATCAAAATATCGTCGTGATGGGTTCTGAAAAATGGAGTACAAGGAATTCTGTGGATCATGCCCAAAAACCACGTTGTGGATACGACGACGTGAAAAAGTCATGAATGGCACCGGTCCCATAGTTCGCGTTCCCAGCAGACGGTTCTGGCGTGTCAACGGCGGATCCGGTTCTGGCATCCCCGCGTTTTCGCGAGTTTCCTGCGCCGCCAAAATATTACAGTCAACTACGTGCATATCATGATGGACGTCGTCATTGCTGGTGGCTTCACTGGCTGCATGAAAATTCATCATCTCCTCGTTACCCGCATGCGCACGTCCATTCCCATTTCGATCCATTTCGCCATGAAGCTCTTGATGATCATCTTTTTTATGCTCATCCCTCTTTTCTGCCTCTATCATCTCTTGATACTTTAAAAAGTCCTCCTTGGTGTATCTGCGTACCTGAAGCAACATGACCGTGTCCTTGGTTATCATCGCTACCACTCCCTCGTAATGCAAGAGCACACGTTCGCCCTCAACGGTCGTCTCACCCAGGAAGGTCACGCAACGACCTATTATCTTAAGTTCCTGTGCCCGCAATAGGGGCAAGTTGGCACAGGGCGCATCAAGATTAATCTCCGCTTCCTCTACAAGGTCCTCAATAGAAGGCTCCGCTATTTCTTCTCCCACTCGCGCGGTGGAATTTCCCGCTGCAACATCCCCATTTCCATCATCATTATCGCGGCTCTCAGCTCGCCGCCCCTCCCTATCGGGCCCGCCATTCGTTGTCTCTCCTCCTGGCGCACTCGGTGGTATCCCCGGCAGTGTGCCTTCGCCCGCCACACTATCACGTCGCGGCATACCAATGATATCTCTCCAAGCACACCTTTGCTTTGGTTGCACGTCAAATTCTTATTTTTTATTTATTCACTTGCTGATATATTTATATCTTTTCTTTTTTTCTTCTTTTTTTTTATTTTGGGTGTTGCCTTCGGTTGCCTCAATGCGGCTCCTGCAACACCTCTTCTCCGAAGGGAAATAAAAGTGGCAAGAGCAACAAACGGCAAAATAATTAAAAAAAAAAATAATAAAAAAAACGCTTTAAAACACTTGTGACCTTTTTTTTTCTTCTGTTTGTTTCGTCCTTCCGCAGAAAAAACAAAAGAAAACAAAATTAGTTCCTGCAAAAACAAAAAAACAAAGAAAAGGAAAGGAAGACACAACTCAAAAGAAATGCCCCTTCGGCAATAAACGTCACGTAACGCGTGAGCTGCCCGGGGGGTTCCGTTCAACGTCTTGCACTCGCCTCATTGGCCTCATAAGCAGCCGCGCACGACAAACACACACACACGTAAACAAGAAAACACAACACAGGACCTTATTGACTCCTCCAAAAAAAAAAAAAAAAACACATCCTCGCCAGCCAGAGACCAGTGATGCGCATTGCTCCTCATCCATTCCCTCTTCCTTCCTTTCGTCTCACAAAAGCCATGACGCACGTGAGCACACAATTATAGACGAACCATCAGCAAAATGACTCCTCGCAATAGCCACAAAAGACAAAAACAGACACAGTGAAGAAGAAGAAGAAAAAAGAAAAAAAAGATGAGCGTTAAACGAATAAAGTTTTTTCCTCCTTCTTCATTCCTGTTGGTTCAATAATCAAATTTGTGTGTATATATAATACGTGCATCTAACGAGAAGAGATATGACCACAATTCTTTACATGCGTACCAACGTATAAATATACCCTCGTTTACACACACACACAAAAAAAAAAAAAAGGCGTATGACAAAGACCCCCCACAAGAACCAAAATAAGAAGAATGATGCATCGTTCACGGCCACTCCATCCGCATCTCTTCCAGAGACTCAAAGTGATTCGTTTCGCTCCTCCTCCCAACTCAACCTTGTTTCGCTTTTTCCTTTTTTTCTCATCCCCCCAACATCCGCTCCGATAAAGAAGTGCTGTCCTTATGTATCCTCTTTTCTTATAAATCAGTTTGATCTCTTTTTTCGTGTATGCGCAAGGTTAATATATATATGTATATATATATCCCTTTGGCGTGAGTGTGTGTGTGTGTGTGTGCGCATGCCCCATCTTGTTGTTGTTGTCGTTACCCTCGCCATCATTGATTCATATTCAATCATCGCCAACCAACAGTTTCTGCACCAGCTCGAAGACCACAAACATGCATGAGCTCGCGGGGAGCGCCTTCAAGTAGTTTGCCGTGATGCCGGAGAAGAGCGACGCCAAACCCTTCCCCCGAATCATCTTGATGAAGCAGTCCATCATTCCGGTGTACTTTATCTCGCGCCCGTTTATCCCTTGCGTCTGCAGCCTTGTGCGCACAACATTGAGTGGGTACGACACAGTCTGCGCAATCATAGAGGCAAACATGCCAACAACTGCCGTCTCCATCGAAGAAAGCGCTGCATTGTGGCGGCTCATTCCGTAATTCCGCATTCTGTACATCATAATCTGCTGCTGCGCCGTGGAGTACATCCCCACCTCCAAACCGCGATAGAGAAACACCCCAACCATGTTGGGCGTAAGTCCCCGATAGAACTCAGCAATGCCACCATTTCGGTACGTGGCCATGACGACCTCTCGAATACCACCGCGAAATTCAGTCATCTTTGAAACGGCAATGCGCGTCTTCACGACCTCTAGAGGGTAAAGTGAGAATTGAGCCCCAAATCCCGCGCATGCCCCAATGCTGAAGTTAACAAAAAGGCGGGGAACGCCGGTTAAAGTCCCGTAGCGGTCCAAAGGTGAGGGTAATACAGAGACTGCGGAGCGGTAAAGTTCACTGTCAAGAGGACTACACCCTGTTGAAATAAACTCTAGCTCTCGCCGCTCTTCTTCTTCTACACCATCTTCATACAACGATAAAAGATAACGACGAAGCGAAAAGACTATGGCAAACTCCGGACCCGCTTTCAGGCAATTCACACCATTCCCACGCCAAAACGCGCGCCAGCCACCGTCCTCTCTAATTAAATTAAAGACATCCTTCAACCGGGCCGATTTAAAAATCGATATTCGCTGATACGGTCCCGTAACAAGGTGACCCTCCTGCACAATGATCTTGATACGGTCTAGCGGTGCAGTCAATGTTCGACTACAAGCACCAGCTACGCCACCGGCAAAAAAAGTGGCCAGGGTCGTGTAACTATCACGTTTAATAACCAGATGCTGTTCACAAGGCCTTTCGGATGACAACACATTTTCCTCTTCTGTATTTACCCCTGCATTGGCGCTAAAATTCTCATTCTGCTGCACTTCCCGAGTCTGCATGTACGTCTCCACAAAACCACTAAATTTTCAAAATGTGTCCCCTTATCCTCACGGTATCAGTAATTAATAATCGCTGTTATATACGTAAACGTCGGAGAACTATAAGTACGCGTATCCGTATGTGTGTTTATGTCTGGTTTCCTCTTTTATTTTATTATTATTTTTTTTTTCTTCGCTGTTGTTGTTGTTGATGTTGTTTTTGTTTTCCTCTTATGCGGTCCGAAAAAAACGACAAAAAAAATAACAATGTCAGGGAAAGGTTCCAGTTACGGGTGTGGGATTTTAGTTACCACGCAACACACCTCCTTTTGCCTCAATGTATATATATATATATATATATTGTGTGTGTGTGTGTAAGTGTGTGTAAGTGTGTGTTTGCTTTCTGTCCTGTGAGAGATCCCTTTAAATGCTCAGTGTGGGTGCGTGTGTGGCAACCCTCGCCGAGCCCTCGCTGCAGTCGTCTCAAAATATATGGAAAAAAGAACAACAAATTGAATATATTTATATTTATATTTCACAGCCCCAAGGCAATGAGAAAAAAGATGACATAAAAGGCAAATAACACAGCAAAAGAGCATTCAAACCAAGCCAACAACTCATAAATCGCCCTAGCCCAAAGAACGGCTTCTTCATTACCGCAGGAAAAAAATGCATGGGCGCAAAAAAAAAAAAAAAAAGTAAGCATCGCCATCACATTGTTTGAAGAGTGTTATTTTGTGCGTCCAAGTAGAAGTCCTCATCTGCCACAAACCACCCCACCACAGGATACTTCGAATCAAACTTTTTCGCCCACCACTCCAACGCCTCAAGTTCCTCCTCATTGCAGTCATGCATCCAATTCTTGTTCGCCTCCTTCGCCGTCGTGTCGGATTTAGCAAGACAACGTGAGATCTCGTGTCCTGCATAGGCATGGTACGGCTGGCCCGGACCGTAGAACTGCGGGGCCACCTCATACACCACGCCCTTGACGCTGACATAAATGTCACCCTTCTGGATGCCGTCATACTCACGGAGTTCCTCCTTCGTAAAGCCACGACATTCTAACTTTTCTACAGGACGAATTGTTGATTTCGCCCTATTCCCAAAAAAGCGGCATCCCCACGTCCAGTCACTTGCATCACTCCGTTTATTATAAGAAAGAATAAGCACCCGGACAAAAAGTCCCACCACGGCGGAGGCAATAATGACACCGTAAATCTTACCGGCACCTATACGTCTTGCTTTTTGCATGCTCTGTTGCGCTGCTCCACCGTAATGATGCCGGTTACCCCTTATAAAATAATGACGGAGCCTCTCCCCCCTATTCACAAGCTGGATAACAACAAGAACAAAAAATAAAAAATAAAAAAATTAGAAACATCACATCTCCATGACAAAAAATAAAACAAAATAAAAAGAAAACCATTTTTCCCCCTCTTCACCCACCAATAACATGCATCGGACAGGGGACCCACTTAAAAGCCAACGACACAGAAAACAACATAAAAGAACAACAACAAAGAAAAACAAAAACAAAAACAAAAAGGCGTCGCCCATATGGGCATTACAATTTACATCAATAATATCCCTTGATTTGTTTTCTCTTTTCTTGGCTGGTAGAGAAAAAAAGTTTTCAAAGGCCTTCTCTTCTCATATTTTCACCACCAAAATAAAAGTCTTTTGTGTCCCGAGTGAAAATTGCTACGGGGGCATCTCAGATCATGCGCCCTCTTGGTTACATACATGAATTCAGCCCTCAGTACACCGGCTGCCAGTTGGGGTTGTCAACCTCCTTCAATGCTAGGGGCACAGTTCCACTCCTGTTATGCATGAGTTTCACATGCGCATGCCTCTGAACACGGACCTCCGAGAGAAAAGTGTTTTGAAACACGCGAATATCTTTCCCCTTGACACAATCCAACGAATAGTAATCACACTGTGCAAATTCGTTCTTCATAAGCTCCACCCCACGCACATTCTCCAAAACGATACCTGAGCCAAAGATGTTTTCCACTTTGCATGTTCGCACCACCATCGCAGGCTTTTCGGCGGTGGCATCAGGGTGTGAACCACGCAAGAGAATGGCAGTTTCCAAGTCCTTAAACTGGCAATCCTCCACAGTTACGCAACAGCTGTCCGTGTGAAGTCCCACAGCCTTTCCTCGCAACGTACGGGCCTCATCCGTGGCCCCTTTCTCCGAGGGTAATGTCTTGGGATTACCCGTGAAAAGACATTTCTGAAATGTCAGCTTCCCCATTGGTAGACCGTACATGCCACATTTTTCAGGACACTCAAAGGTGCATCTGATGCATTCAACCTGACAGTACTGCGTCACCAGAAGCTGGGCAACATCCACAACACGCGCAGAAAACAAACAATTGCGAAATGTAACATGCGCATGAGAAACTATCACTTGACCTGTAAAAGTGATATTGGTGAAGACCACATTGGACCAACGATTAGGATGTGCATACTGCATCCGGTATTCTTCCTCTTCTCGTGCAGCAGCGACAGCCGCATTAACCTTTTCTTCATATATTTTTGCCGCCTCGGCTAAACGCCGCTGCTCTTCTTCAATAGCTTTTGCACTCTTCTTGCGCTTAATGGAGGGCTTTCTCTTAGTCTGTGGAACAACAGGAGGCTCTGGAAGGTCTGGCTTAATAACAATGCGTGTCACGATGCCATCAATGTGCACGGTTCCATGCACAATCACATCGCAGGCACTTAGGGAGGCACCAACATCAGGTTCATTCACCTCGGAGGATTTATCCACATCTTGTTTTTCCTCAACGGTTTCCTCGGGTTCTAACGCCTCTTCCCCCGCCACGCCTGCCTCCTTCAATTGTACTGCATTTTTCATGGAGGTTCGGGGGACGCTCTCAACAACGATGTTGTTGGCCACTTCTACACCATAGTGGGAACCCGCAACCCCGAGTCCGCATGCTGGGATAAGAATATTTGTACGAGGAAGTTCTCCCACCTCCCCATCAGCCGAGGTGTGTTGATCCAGTACAGTGTGTGCAATGTCGGAGATGGCGTCAATGTTTTGGTAATGGGACCAAGAGCCTATGTAATAGTCGCACTCACCGTTAGAAATGGTGTTTGGATCTGGCAGCACCTCCTTCTTCTTCTTCTTTGAAATGGACCTCTTCTTTGGAGGCATTGACTGTAATTGAACACCACCTTGGAAGTATGATGTCAATATCAGAAAAAGCATAAATACAATAAGATAAAATAAAAACCAAGAAAACAAAGAAGGAAATAGAAAAAATAAACATTACAGAAACACACATACAAAAAATAATAATAATAATAAATAAAAAAATGCAAGTGACCCAATGGAAATATAAAAATAAAAATTTAAGCAGCAGTTGAAAAATCCTGTAAATGCATACGCAATTCATATATAAATATATATATATATATATATATATATATATATATATATATAAGCATATACTCATTTGATTTTAAATTGAGCATTCAGGCATGTGGCATATGCCCCCGACAGACCCATAGTGGAGGTCTTCGTCTTTCTCCTTGCATCAATGGCACTGCGTTGCAAAACAACAAGAATCTTCCTTCCCTACATATCCGACAGTATGTGATAAGCGGGTTTCTATGATTTCCTGTGCAGACTTTACAGTAAGCCAAGAGCACTGACAACAATACGCTGCACATCCAACACTTGGTCCCAGCACCCTATCATTTTCTGCACCCTTTGCCTTTCCAACAGGAAAAGAGTTCGCCAACCTACTCCAATCGGGGTAATAATTACGCACCGTCAGGTACAGATCTATTCTACCTTCCCCATCATTCCAAGCGGCTCCTTGAAGGCGTATAACACCATAGTTACACTTCCGGCACACCATCACTGGGCATCCCCCACTGCAACCCATATTCTCAGCGTACCTGTCAGAAGCCCCGTTGCCAAATTTGGCATCAAGCGCATAAAAGGCACCTTTACGTTCCAGTAACTGTATTTGGGTTAACCTGTCACTGTACCCCTCTTTTGCAAAGAGTAAAAGCCGAGCAATCGTGGGGTGTGGAAGACTCTTGGACCCCACGTTTGTGACAAAACACTTTTCTACACATGCCCCACCCAAATCGCTTGGAAAAAACGGAAATGGAACCACAGCGAAGGTAAACACAGTTCCGGCAGGCCCGAAATCCTCCCCGTCGCTCTCATCAAAGTAGCTTTTGGATGGATCTGAAATGAAGTTTTTCTTGGCATCTACCGAGGCTTGAGGCTTCACAGAAACAATCTTTGCATCCGTTGCGTCGCCCCTTTCCTCATCACTCGCGTCCCAGTCAGCCTTGGAGGCGGGCGGCTCATGCGTCATTGAGCGGACGTTCAGCCCCGAGTGCGGCTCCGTCCCCCCGTTTGGAAACAACTCTTCGATCAGCTGATCCACGTCCGACATTTACAGACGCCCACAGCGATCCCTTCCTTCCCCGCAAAATGTACCACCCCACACACAGAGCCACACGTTCCACCTTCTTGTGACGACTTCCCCTTCTCTCTCTCTCTCTCACCCGCTCCCCATGCAAAATTACACAAACAATCAAAACACATCCGTGAAACGGAAGGGAAACAGACAAACAAAAAGAGTGGAAAAGAAGCAAAGCAAAATAAAAAGAGTAGAACACCAAATCCGGTGAACCAAACGCATATAAAAAGAAAATTATTTTTGAAAATATACTTCCAAAAAAATTATATATATATATATATGCAAAAAGGCACGCACGCAAGAGCATCACCTCGCGGCAGAACACAGAGAAATAATACAAATAGCAACAGCAAATGTGTAAACTAGAGCCAAAATTCCTTCGCCTTCAAACGTATCGAACAATAGATACACAACAAATAAAATTCAGATAGGGGAAAATAGAAAAAAAAAAAAAAAAAAAAAGGTGACCAAAAAAGCAACACGCCATGATTTCCTAGCAGGAAAAGTCGTTACAAAAAGAACAAAAAAACAGCTAAGATAAAAGCACAACGACAACGACCAAAAATAAGGACAAAACGAGTTTCTAATGTCCACATTTTTGATCTCTGCTTCTCCCCTCCCTCCACTGTCCATATCTACAATACCCAGCGCACCACACCACACCATCGCTGCCTTCAACTCTATCTCCCCCCGTCGTTTCGAACAGTTAACGTTTTAACTCTGTTACATAGCACTGCATTCACAATTTATACCCCTTTTCGCCTTTTCTGCTTTTTTCTCTTCGCGGTAAGGAGAGACTCCCCCATTGCCAGCTAGATCCACATCCTTGGCAAAGGAAACCTTTTTGCGTGTCCCTCTATGCAAGTTCTGCTGTTGTTTTTGTTGTCGTTGATTTTGGGGCGACATTAACTCTGGTGTTGGGTACTGTGCTGCTGCCATTTCCTCCAGAGGCAACGACCCCAGATGGGCACCTTTATCCGCCTGATTGTCATTTATCATCGGAGACGCCCCCTCGCGTGGCGAGAACCTCCCTCCGGAGTCTATTAACTCCATATTCTCTGCGAGCATCTGCTCGTCCCTACCGTGGTCTTCTCGTTTATTTTCCATACCAACTCCCTGCTTATTTGCAGAGACAAAGGTAACACCTCCAGGGTTAGGAGTGACACGGGAATAATTCCACGGTAATGTTCCCGCACACACCGGTGTGTGGTTACCATTGTCCAGATGGTCTCTTCTAGAAATTCCAGGGGATAAGCTCACGTCACTTACTCCCACAAGACCCTGTTCCACTGCCTCCTCCTCTGATTGCGGCGACGGTGGCATCAAACGTGCCGCCAAAGTGGGACGATTTATATTTATGTTCACCGCTTCGGGAGCAGGAACAATCGATACATCCAGAGGCTTTCGAAAAGCATATTCAACGGGAACCGGCCGGGGAAGAGGATTTTCTCTCGCAACCGCAATGTTAGCGGCCACAGTGCTAGTCTGTCTGATGGGACTTTTTAAAACATTTTCTTCTTCACGAAAATCCACACGGTAGACTGTGCCGTTCTCATGCTCCCAATCAAGCGGTTTGTCCGGTGGGTAGCCACGACGTTCAATCGCTCTTTCCAGGAGCGAAAGCAGAAAATCATAATTTGGCTCATCTTCATAATGTAAAGTCTGTAGATGCGCTAAAAATGGACGAAATTCACGGGGTAAATTTTGAACAATCCCAGGACCAATCACTTCTTCCTTGCACCGACCAATTTCTTCCTTCTCCTTGTATTTTCGCCACGGCAACGTCCCCGTGGCAAATTCAATAAGCATAAACAACAGACTCCATATATCATCTACACGGCCAAGCTCTTGCTGACGATGTGAGGCCAATGAGGCGTAACGGCTTGTTCCGCGGAAACCAGCGTTTTCGCGCGGTGGACGTACCTCCCCGTTGAGACGACAGTATCGACGCGCCAGTCCAAAGTCTATAAGATAACAAGTCTGCGGATCTGAAGTTACACCCAAACCAATGACAAAGTTTGATGGCTTTATATCACGGTGAACAAGCCCCAATTGATGGACCCCGCGTATTGCCCGGAGACATGATATACCCAACCTAAGAGTTGTGTAATGACTAAATGTGCCAATGGGAGTGCTACGGCGCAGCTCCGCCAGATTGGGTCCCAGTCGCTCCATCACTAAAAAATTTATACCTCCTGTATTTCCACTCCCCAAGTACCGTGCTACCTGAGGACAGGACTGCATCTTTTTCAACGCTGCCGCTTCAATGCGAAGAACATTTTTATTTTCTTTTTCCACCTTGATGCACACCTCCACCGGACTCGAGGAGGTCCTAATTTTATGTGAAACTGCCAAATTGTCGGTCGTTTCATCCTCTTCATCGCCATCTCCGCAATCTTTTGTTTCTTCTACAGCCGTAAAGGTCTCACCAAAGGATCCAGCACCTAACCGGCCCGTGATGATCCACCGCTTCAGATGCATGCCAACCGTAACCCGAGTTTGCGCCAGTTTTGCTGCTGGTTTTCGTCGTTTCAAAGCCCCATTTGCTTTTCCCCACATGCCAGGATTCGTTTTCTCATTTGAAATGTTTCTAACATCGGTGTCTCCAGTCCGCGCCTCCTCCAAAAGGGTCCCGTTGAGTGGAATGCCATTCTCCACATGAGGGGATGACAACCGGCGCCTGTTAGAATCACTCACATCAGCCAACATGTTTAACAGGTATTCAGCCAGGCCCTAACGCTCCTCTGCATAAGCCTTCTACGCAGGAATGCAGGACTCCCCGGGAGCACCCAATGAGAGAAAAAAAAAGAGTTAAAACGCAAATAAAAAAAAACAGTCACATTCGCCACTAATGGACAAACACAGAGAATACATGAGTGAGCGGCCCATTGTATACGCATTCCACTTCTGCACTGTCTATTATCCACCTACGTAAACGTTTTAAAAAAATTTGAAAAAACAAGGGAGGGAAAAAATAAAAGAAGATGATTTCCGCATCCACTTTCTCAAAAAAAAAAAAAAAATCTAAATAAAAGAAAAAGGAAGGAAAAAAATGAATTGCCACGTCGCTTTTTATCCAACAGATTCACACCCGTCTAACAATCCCTTCCTACTCTCCACGAGGCGTCCCAAAAACAACATGATTTCCTCACTACCGTCTTGGCTTGGCAAGACTATTCGACAAGCTCTTTGGTTTATGAGTAAACATGCTCCGTTGCGTTTCACTCCGCGCTGCTGCTAGCGCCTCTGCACGTTTTAAAAGGCGATTGTCCCGGGGAACTATCGGAACAGGGCACTTTCCCACTATTAGAGAAGCATAGTCCTGTACAAATTCTCGTAATCCTCCCGTTAGAACTGCTAAATTATCAACGCCCTTTTCAAAGAGGATCTTGCCAACGCTCTGTCCAACTGTTAATTCCTCTTCTAGATCGTACAATACGATACACTTGTTATCTTTATTCTTAAATTCAAACATCTCCGGAAGAAATGGGTTTGTTGCGTGTACCAACCGTCGCTTTGGGTAGTGCAGTGAGCCCTCAATATGACAGGTCCGGTAATCTTCCTCTGAGCGGACATCAAGAATGAGATACTCCTTAGGTGGCCTTGCATTTGGCGAGCGGTACTCGTCCATTGGGTGCGCAAATCCGCCGTCGCTATTGCCCATGCTTTTAGCCTCTTCTTGTCTTTTAAGAAGTAAAATATATTCCGCTAACGT